AGTCTCATGTGACATAACCACATAGACACACTCTGAGGCTCCTCACACTCTCATCTGCACCCCTCCTCTGCCCAATATGGTGGCAGCTGATAGAGTTGTCATTCCCTCCCCAGGAGCTGTGAGCAGAGAGGAAAGTCAGCGTGCAGCTGGGTGCACCTCCCTCACAGTGAGCTGATAAGACAGGGTGCCCACCCATACAGACTGAGTACAGCATGAACCGGGGCTTTAAATGTAAACACAGCATGAGAGCATGCTGTCAAAACAAACCCATGCTGCAGAGAGCTACTGGGAGCTGCGTTCAGATGCAGCTTATTCACAAACATACAGAAGAGGTTGCTTTATTTATTTACTCCAAATGTTTCAAGATTTTTGATGACTTTGGTTCCATTTTTAACAGCTTAGAACAAATTAATTAAAAGTATCCAAGATGCAATCAGGTGATATTACTACCAGCTGCATCATATTTTCATTGACAATAACCCAAGCCAAGAGTTGTGGTTCTACTATAATGACTACTACTACTACTACTACTACTACTACTAATAATAATAATAATAATAATAATAATAATAATAATAATAATAATAATAATAACAGTAATATAAATAAAAATAATTAAATAATTAAAAATAAAAAAACACAACATAAAGTTGAACATTTTTCTTTAATAATAGAGTCCAACATTTCATGAGCAAATTTGGTTCTATTCTATCATGAGACTATTTTTTGTGTCCATTTAATACCAAAAGACTAAAAATAACTGAAGGTCAAAGCTTCGACTGTTGCTGCAAATGAAGTAAATAAATAATTATGCTGATGGTTTTCAGTCCAGACTTACTCCATCTTTCTTGTTCTTAACAGGTTGTTTTTTCTTCTTCTGACTGGTATTATCCTTCTGGTCTCCGTGGCTGCAGAAATGATAATCAAGATGTATGAATAATGAAGATCAAATCTGTTTTCATCACAGTCCAATTTTCCTCCCTGACATAAGACATTATGACTAGTAACCAGAATAAGAGCAAAAATTAAACATAAATGTGACAGTTCACATGCGTATCATTAGTGTGCACAAGAAAAGACTGAATGTTACATCTGCTAAAAAAACAAATGAATAAACCAAAATTATCTATTGACTTTAATTTTAAGGTCATTTTAAAAACTGCATCACGATAACACACAGAACTTGTTTGAACAGTGTGTTATACTTCCTGTTTATGTTACTGAGTCATCTTACTTGCTGTTGATGGCGTCAAACTTTTTGGAGGCCTCACATGTAGTCGTCTGTGTGGCTTTCCTGGTACTCTTCCTGATTCCATTCTTCTTGCCCCCTGACATAATGACATATATGCTTAGATTCTACATGCATGTGTCCTTTTTTGTTTTTTCAATCTCAATATGGAAATGGAAAAAACATTTCCATATTGTTAAACAGTTTAAAACTGTGTAACCTTTTCTGGGCTTGATAATACCTGAGACTGAAAGAGGCCAAGAAGAAAACATCTGGATTTATTTGGATATATCAAAATGTGGACTGACATAAAATAAAAAGATGCTAAACTGAGCTTTGTATAAACTAATGAGGAGAGATTTTTATTCAAATATCCATTTGAATTAGAACTTTAACATTTGTTACAACGTTTTCCCTTAAGGTTTCAACTTTTATTTAATTTACCTTTGGGAGCAATAGAGTATATTTGAATATGAATTAAATTCAATTCAAAGTTTAGTAATACTTATATTTAATATAAGAAAAAAACATGTCTTACTTGTAAGGTTCTTAAGTCTAGATGATCTCCTGTCAACATAAGACAAACATCTGCATAAGGAAACTGAAAAGCAAAGCTGCAGAATGATAACTAGCATCATAGTTTAGATCAATTGTGATCAAACATTTGTTCTTCATCTGAATAAAGAACAGACAATGTTTGATGATTAGAATTTGTGCAACAAATTTTAATATTTGGAGACTGAGGTTTGAAAAACTCAACCAAATCACAAATATTTGCATAAGCATCAATGGATATTTTGCTAACTTCATCAAACTACATCAAGCAAATTTTTTACAAGCAATCTTATGAACACTGTGGTTCCAACTTAAAAAACTAATTAACTTTTTATATTTGTTATATAGCAAAGTCCTGTATATAGTCTAAATATAAACTGGAAACTTGAAGTTAAGAAGCAATTGTATGAAAATGCAAATGTATTTACATATCTTACTTAGAAAATGTATCCTCATTTATTTTAGATCTTTACTAGCTTTTGAAATTTCGGTTCTGATGTCTGACCTGATTACTTTTCTTGCAGGTTTTCTTGCAACTTCTTCATCACGTGCGTGTGAATTAGTGTGATTCTCTTCTTCTTTCTTGGCAGGAACTTTCTAGAGAACATTTCATAGGTCAGTATCTGTCACAGTTAATCAAGTAAATGTATGTATTACAGAATAGTATAATGCCGGTTGTTAAAGTATAGGGTTATAGTAACTATATCAGTAAAGCATGTTTAGAATATTGATAAACATCCCTACAACCATATTACTTGCAATGAATACACATTTTGCTCCCTTCTCTGTTTCTCATCCAACACTATTGATAATCCTTGGTACTGAGATCTGTCTGAAGTGTAAACTTATACTTTTAATTTATTGTCCATGAATTACTAGAAGTAATATATTATAGTAATACATTACACCCTTTCTAATTTTTTTACTGGTTTGTTTGACCAAGCCACTTCAGTCAGACCATCACAATAAAAGCAAAAGCGGGATACTGACCTGAAACATGCACGTTTTTCATATATTCATTAAAATTAAGATATAAAAGACAGATCGTTTTTGTTGTTGTAGTTATCCAAAACAGCAAAAAAGAAAGTTGGATGAAATTTTACAGATTTATATTTTGTATTTTGAGGACTCTTTCATGCATAAATATTTGCTTTTCAGGTTCAGTTTGTATTTTTCATCAATTTAATTTCTCTAGCACACACAGCAAAAATAATTTGAATGGTGTTAAAATCAATTAGAGATTCTGCTATTAAGTTTCCAAAACATCAAAATTAACGCAATTTTCAAAGCAGTAGTTATTAATTTGGATTAAAATAAATCTAAGTACTGGAAAAAAATTTAAGAAATCTTGCAAATATATAAAAAAATGTGCTAACTACATAGTTATGCTCTTAAAGAAATTAAGACATTGCAAGCTAAAAATAAAATGTTATCAATTCACGTGTTTATTAATGTTTCATGTTAGTACAAATTATACATGGACAACTCACGTTATTAAGGAAAACGCTTTCGTAAGCAGACAAAAGTGAGAACACGTAAGGGGAAATTAAGGAAAAGATTATGTAAACATAGGTGTATCATAATAGAGCTAAAGCAATTTAATGACAACTAATAGAAATTGTTAAGCCGATTGACAAAAAAAAACACCATCTACATATTGAGAAAATATTTTATATCACCCTACATAATCTTTTTCATATATATAATATTTTCCAATGTTTTTATGAGATTTGTATTTCCTGTTTTGCTTTCGTTGGTTGGTTCGTTCTGACCAACAGCTAAAAGTTTAAACTTAAAAAATGCAGCAACGTGAACACACTGACTTTGGGAAGCTTTTTCGCCTTTGAACGAGTCACCGCTGTCCTGATGCTGGCGTCTTTCCGGGCTCGCTGGGGAGTCTTCGAAACCTTGGCCGGCTTCTTTTTCAGCTTGCGGTTCCGAACTACATCCCTTCTGTTTCTGGCTCGACCACGGTTCATCACCATGGTGACGCTCAAACGCTAACCCGGAGACGGTTAATGTGTTAGCTTACGAGCTATCGTGCTAAAAGTGTAAAAAAACCAGCAAACACCGACATTGTCACCTCGACCTGTTGAGAGATGTTTTGCAGAGATGATGGCAGAGATGATGTTATAGTCACCGTCTTACTGTGACTGAAGAGAGAGCTGAAAGTCAAACACACCCAGACAGCTTGATAAGCTCTCGGAGCCCAACAACCCGACTCAATTCAAACGGCTGAGTTTTGCCGCCGCCTAGTGGTCGTCACGACGTAATGTACGTGTGTTCAAGAAATGTGAGGTTTCAAAATTGAAATAGAAAACCACATCTTATCTTATAAACGGTAAATTTTCTTAATCCTACAGATGCTTGTATAAAGTTTTAAAAATCCAGATATATCAAGGAACTTTATCCTGCACTGTATTTTTGACAAACTGTGTAGTTTAATATTTCTAATGCTGATAATCAAAGTTACTATAATTTTCCATACAAACAACTCGAATTTCACCAATCTTCCATGGAAATTGTGTTTTCTGTAGTCTTTCACATGATAAATTTTCCACTAATTCTTTAAATGTACCACAAATGTACCAAATGTAATCTTACTGTTTAAAAATATTAGACATTAAAGCTTTGATTAAAAAAAGATAAGTTTTAATTCACTTAACAAATGCTAATCACACTGTGTCATTTCAATAATATTAGAAAAACAATACTGTTTTGGAACTAACTTAATAGCTCAAATAAAATGTGTTTTTCTTAAGTATTGTCAAATCAAATAACCTCATTTCAAGGTATTGCACAATATGTACTCAAGTAAAACAATCATTTGATCATTTATAGCACACTGTGTAGAATATGCTTGGATTAGAGACTGAATTAGAGGTTATTATCCATCTGCTTTGTAATTGTCTTGCTTTTCTGTATGGTGGAACAATTCATTAAGACCAAAGTAGAAACTTTGTGGTGATTACACCTGGAAGTCTTCTGGTAGTTAAGCCCTGTAAATAAAGCCTTTTTCATGAGAACCCCAATATCATGAAAATCATGTAATACAGATTTTATACATTTTCTAGATTCTAAAAACACCTTCTTGACATTAGCTAAAAAACAAAACAAAAACACCTTCTCCTTTCTAAAGAAAACTGGACAGGTTGATGAAAACCTACAGTAATATATTTCAGGTAAACATGAACTTGCATCATAAAAAATGAACAACTCTTAATCATTTGATTTATTCAATGAGAAACAAAAACAGAGGTTTCAGTATTCAGTACAGTTTAGGGTTAAGTCTTAATCTTTTGAAAAAGTTCTCTCACAAAAGTGAACAAAAAACATGTAAAGACATGAATATATAGGTCATATGGTAAAATTTGTAAACATTTTGTTCCATGATTTAATTGTTTGAAAGAATGTGCTTGTTAACATTTTACTCACAATCTTACCATTCAGCAATAAAATATGCTTGGTAATCTTTGTACCACAAGAGCAAATTACATTAGAAAAAATGTATCATTTATTATACAACTTTAAAGCAAGGCAAATAAAAAGAAAGAAAGCCCAACAAAGTCCCACAAAACTAAACCAAAATCTTTTAATCAAGCAATCTTGTATTCCATTAACATTGGAGACCATAAAAAGTTAGAAAAATTAAGAAAATAATCAACTCATTAAAGCAGGTGTTCAAAAGAATACATCTGTGAAAAATAACTTGTTTCAACATTGTAAAGATCCAAATAATTTTGAAAAGAACTAAAGTCCCTTAATACACAGTTGAGTGCAAATAGCATATGTATTGTAAATCTGCATACTACTACATATTACTTGGCTAATCTAAAATATGTTCACATCGTGAGTTTCGTTTATTAGAAGTATACAACAAATGAAGTCTTTCAGGCTATTTTTGATTTCTAGAATTTGTTTTAAATAATTGCAATCTTTTGTTCAATAGTTTTAGTAAATTTGATAGGTGGAAAAGAAGAAATCTTATATTAATACATAAAAGTGGAAAACCTTCATCCCACCACTTGCTAATATTATGAAGATGTCCAATTGATCAGACAAAAATGTAAATATATTCACCTGTCCAATTCTTCCATTTCTAATTAGGTATCGGTATCTTTACAAATCGCTGGATGACTTGTGTGTTCAAAGCTTTCTCTGAGTTTTCCAAATACACATTTACTGCTTTTATGAAGAATGTAAAGAAAACCTTTCTACATATTTCATAGATCCACTGGGAAACAAGACTTATTTCAGATTTATTTTGAAAAAAAGTAAAAAACAACTTGTCTCCATTTCAACAAGTTTAAAAAAATTTTTGTCTTTTGAATTGGGACTATCGGGTACAAATCTTGTGATAATTGTTTTATGCAATCAGGTAAATCTGCTTCCAAGTGATGAAGATAGCTAATTTACTCAGACTTGAGTCACTCGCTTTCTCTGCTGGTAGTAGATCAGCCCACTGCAGAAGTAAAAAAATTAAATTTTTTAAACAAAACAGTGAACATAGCAAACATATCAAGCTTGCACTTCATATAGTTTGCAAAAATATTGTATTGAAATGCAGAGCAAACATTCTAAGTGTGAAGCTACTTACACTGAGCACCAGAATCTTGGGATGGAAGTGATCGTCCTAAAATATACAAAGAATATGTTCAACTTCTGGACATGGAAATGTGCATAAAACTGTTCTTGTCTACAAGGTTTATTAGCAGAATAAACCTAATAAACATTCAAGGACATTCTTTGTCCTTGAATGTTCACTCATTCAAGGACAAAGAATGAGTGAACATGGTATTAATCAACATTATGCTTTATAGGCAAGATAATAGGTTAAGATATTTGAATGCTCATAAAAAAAGTGTTGAAAAAAGAAAGTCTAATGAAACCTCACGTCTTAAATGTTTTTTTTTCATGTAAAAGCAGATAATATCTTGTCTACAAGGTTTATTAGCAGAATAAACCTTGTAGACAAGAACAGCTTTTAGAATGTAACTTCATAAACAAAGCTGTACAAATAATCTTGCTAGATGTAGCACATTTTACCAGAATACTCAATTAGACCAAACAGAGATTAGTTTTTGTACTTAAGACTAAACAGAGCAGGCTGAGGAATACGTGAGCATCTAAAAAATGTTACTGAGGTTCATGAAAACCCAGTTATACGAGACATTAAATTCTGTGGGACTCTAAAGTTTACAATTTTAAAGATTTGAAAATCAATGGATGTGACTTACCTGTTCCAGAGGAGTCTGTGGAATCTATTAATACAAAAAACAAAGTTTTAGAGGAAAATCTTGTAAAAAAAAATAAAAATATTCCTTTCACTAAAATTAGTGAATGATCAGTTTCATAATACATTTAATATACATGAAAATATGTATTCAGTAAATTTTTGTCAAACCTAATTTCAGACATAAGAAGGATAACTTTTCATCAACTTTTGCATTTTGATAAACTATTTTAGGTTTCCTGATTCATATTTAAAACTAACTAAGTGAACAAGAACATTTGGGGAAAAAAGATAAATGTATAATAAGTAATTAGCTCAACAATTTTTCATCAGGCATTTCATATCCACAACCTGCAATTTTACACACTCAAGCTTGAAACTGAAGACAGAACGTTTTTGAAAGTTTGGAAAATGAATGGGTGTAACATACCTGAACCAGAGGTGATCGCAGAATCCAGACCTACAAATAGAAACACATGTTGGTAAATCTTTATACTTATAAACAGTATACCTGATATTTATACTTTCAATGTGTGACTAAGGTGACTGACAAAAGTATAGCAAAGATCAAAAGTACTTACTTGGATTGGAGGATGAATCTTTAGGGCAGAGAAACAAAAAACAGTTTTTATAACATTTAACAATAAACTGATCAACTAATACAATAAAAATGTAGATATGATATTAGTAAAGAAAAGAGAATGTGGCACAAAATGTTAAAAAGCAAATGGCATGATAGATGGCAAATCCTTGCAAAAATATTTTTCTTGAAATCACTGATTACATAGTTTGATCAAACTCCTAATCTGAATCAAAATATTCATCATTCAAATTTTAGCCAAGTTTATAAACCTACATACAGATATTTGGGGGAAAAAGATAAATGAGTATGAAAGCGTATTGGTTAAGAACCATTAGAATGTGTCCCATCTAACAGAGAATAACCATGTATGCATGTATTAAGAAATATTAGGGTATGAATTTTCTGAAATTAAAAAAGTATATTTAAATAGGTAAAGAAAACTTACCACCATTGAGAAGTTTATGATTCTCATCTGGTGTATTTATATCGGTGACTTTTTGATCTACACACAAAGATTCAAGCATAGACATTAAATACAGAACTGCTGTTATCTGTTTTTTTTATGAATATATCATCATTCATTTTTGGACTGTGTTCAGGTATTACATTTTTTGCTAACATTTGCCCATGACATATATAATGTGCCAGGTTGACAATAAGAAGCTTATAGGAAATCGAATGCGCTGTAAACAATCATCCTCCCCTGCTGAGTCCAACGAGGCGGCTGTTCATTTTAATTCAATGCTTGGAAGCGTCACCGATATGAACTGAACAACATTTTTCACTTCCTCCGCTGCCATTGCTAAATCTATAGACAGACTACAATTCTAAAACATTATTGTCTTCATTTTATCCTCTTGTTCGCTGTTTGTTTCAGTGAAAAATTGACCTGAGACAGAACCCAAACTGTGCTGGGGGCGAGATTTTATTTTTTTTCCCCCGAGGAAATGCATATGAAGGCAATGACCAGACCTTGAAAAGAATCTAAAACAAAATTAAAATTCGGTAAAACTAAAGAATATTTACTATCTATTTTGATATGGTTGAATCACATCATAGTACAAAAACCTTTCATTGAGAAGCATGTTGTTTTTCTTTACAGTGGCGTGTTTCTATTCAGCAAATTTATATTCATAATTAGCATTTGCGCAACTATATGATCAATGGAAATGCAGCTTCTGAACTTCTTTTTCTAGGATGATGTTTAGTGACGAGTCCAGCAATTATCTACCCTGCAATGAACTCTATCAGAATACTCAATTTGACCAAACAGAGATTAGTTTTTGATCTTAAGACTAAACAGAGCAGGCTGAGGAATAAGTGAGCATCTAAAAAAATGTAACTGAGGTTCATGAAAACCCTGTTATACGAGACATTAAATTCTGTGGGACTCTAAAGTTTACGCTGTGGGGTTTATAAGGAATTTAAAATATTACAATCTTAAAGATTTGAAAATCAATAGATGTGACTTACCTGCTCCAGAGGAGTCTGTGGAATCTATTAGTACAAAAAACAAAGTTTTAGAGGAAAATCTTGTAAAAAAAAATTCCTTTCAATAAAATTTGTGAATAATCAGTTTCATAATACATTTAATATACATGAAAATATGTATTCAGTAAATTTTTGTCAAACCTAATTTCAGACATAAGAAGGATAACTTTTCATCAACTTTTGCATTTTGATAAACTATTTTAGGTTTCCTGATCCATATTTAAAACTAACTAAGTGAACAAGAACATTTGGGGAAAAAAGATAAATGTATAATAAGTAATTAGCTCAACAATTTTTCATCAGGCATTTCATAACCACAACCTGCAATTTTACACACTCAAGCTTGAAACTGAAGACAGAACATTTTTGAAAGTTTGGAAAATGAATGGGTGTAACATACCTGAACCAGAGGTGATCGCAGAATCCAGACCTACAAATAGAAACACATGTTGGTAAATCTTTATACTTATAAACAGTAAACCTGATATTTATACTTTCAATGTGTGACTAAGGTGACTGACAAAAGTATAGCAAGATCAAAAGTACTTACTTGGATTGGAGGATGAATCTTTAGGGCAGAGAAACAAAAAACAGTTTTTATAACATTTAACAATAAACTGATCAACTAATACAATAAAAATGTAGATTTGATATTAGTAAAGAAAAGAGAATGTGGCACAAAATGTTAAAAAGCAAATGGCATGATAGATGGCAAAATCCTTGCAAAAATATTTTTCTTGAAATCACTGATTACATAGTTTGATCAAACTCCTAATCTGAATCAAAATATTCATCATTCAAATTTTAGCCAAGTTTTTAAACCTACATACAGATATTTGGGGAAAAAGATAAATGAGTATGAAAGCATATTGGTTAAGAACCATTAGAATGTGTCCCATCTAACAGAGAATAACCATGTATGCATGTATTAAGAAATATTAGGGTATGAATTTTCTGAAATTCAAAAAGTATATTTAAATAGGTAAAGAAAACTTACCACCATTGAGAAGTTTATGATTCTCATCTGGTGTTTTTATATCGGTGACTGGTTGATCTACACACAAAGATTCAAGCATAGACAGTAAATACAGAACTGCTGTTATCTGGTTTTGAATTAATAAACTATTATACTTTAACAGATGTATTCATTTTTGGACTGTTTTCAGGTATTAAAATTTTTGCTAACATTTGTCCATGATGTATCACATGTGCCAGGTTGACAATAAGAAGCTTATAGGAAATCGCCTACGCTGTAAACAATCATCCTCCACTACTCAGTCAAACAAGTAGTGGAGGATGATTGAAGGTAATGACCAGGCCTTAAATAGAATCCCAAAAAAGAATAAAAATGTGTCAAAATCAGTGTTATTAAAATAACAATACTAATGTGTGTGTTGATAATTATAGAGGAAAACACATTTCATCATGCATGAATTTGCATCTCCTGCTTTAATGATAGTACTGTATGAATGAATGTTCTAAATTTGAAAAGAGTACTGGAAAGAAATCTTACCAGCATCAAGAAGGGGCTTGTTCTCATCAGGTTTCTTTATGTCATGGACTGGTTCATCTGCACAAAATGATTCAAACACTGACAGTAAATACAGAACTCGCTACTGTTACCTGTTTTTGAATATATGTAACATAATATCTCAACAACAGAAACATATCTTTTTCTTCTGTTATGTTAGATGCATTCCAAGTGTGCAATCAGTTTAACAGTAATTTGATCCAACTTGTTCAATAATTTCACAAGGCACTTTTTTTTGTTTTTTGGATAAGACTGTTGTCAAACTATCAGCTATATAGTTAAACATTTATTACACCAGATAAAACATTAGGAATAATTCACATTTGCCTGAAAATAACATAACTTAAATGTGTTATAGGGGGGAGAAAACTGCAATATCTACCCACATATAATGAGCAATGGGTTAATTCTGCAAAACAGTTACATTACAAAAATATCCCAAAAATGTCTAGTTTAAAAGAAAGAAATTAAATATAATTGTTGAGATGTAGTGTATTTTGATGAAAGTTGTTATTGTGTGTTGGTAATAGAGAGCTCAAATATAACATAAAATATGTTTCTGTGCATGTAAAACTGTAGCATATATAATGTGATTGACAGGAGGCTGCCACAAATTTTAAGGATGTTAACAAATTTCTTGGGAAAATCTTTTGCAACCTTATGACTGACTATATATATGAGAAATTTGCATAAATGCTGCACATGAAAAGTCTCCGTCACAAAGATGATGATTTACTCTCCTTGACATGCTAACATTTAGTAAACATTAGGTGACTGAAATTAAACTAAATCAAAAAAGAATACAAACTGAGACGTCAAGATAACAATATTTATGGCTAAGACAAAAATATGGCTCTAGAAATGTATTTAATTTAAAATCCATATTTTGTTTAAATGTACTTAAAATATATACATTAAATACATATTTAAAGTACATAGAATGTCAAAACTGCATCCTATACTTGACATTTGGCCTTTAGAAATTACGAAAGTATTTTTCTTAATTTCAAGAAAACATAACTGGACCAATCAGAATTTGAAAATATTTTAACTCTGCAATGATTTGTGAATTTATTTGGCATAAATAACCAAAATTTATATAACAGAAAGTATCACTTACTTTGCAGCAGATTAGCTTTCTCAGCTGATTTTACATCTTTGGCTTTTTCATCTGCAACAAATATTAATTATAAACAGCAGGATTCATGTCCTAAAATTTATTTGATATATTTTATCTTAACATCATTAAAAATTTCCACTGTTGAAAGACTGAGTTTCCTTGCCAGAGTTACTGTCTGCATGGACTGATATACACAAGACATAAAGTTAAAATTATTTCATTTGTCAGACTTATTGCAAAGTGCTGTATTTATTTTTGAACATACTGATGAACATTTTCAAATGACCAATTCTGATATGCTTTAACATATCCTTAATCTACAGTTTTACTTTTAAGAAAAAAGGAGCTCATGATGCTCTGTGACAAGTCTAGAAATGATCTATCTTGCAATGGACTCTATTAGAATAAATTTGACCAAACAGAAATTTGTTTCAACACTTAAGATTAATCAGAGCAGAGTCTAGGAATAAATGAATGTTTGTCATCTTAAATGGCTCTGATTAAAAAAAGTCACTTTGTTTCTTGAGTACCCTTTTATATCAGACAGATATTTACCTCAAAGTACATGAGACTATGGTTAACACTTAAGGCTTTATAGAAAATTGCAGACAGAACATTTTTCAGTGTGAAGAAATAAATGGGTGTGACTTACCAGATCCAGAGGTGGCCAAAGAATCTAAGCCTTCAAATAAAGACATATAATGGTTTATCTTTAGAACAATGAACAACTCAGTATTTGCAGAAAAACATTGTAATATGCTTGAAAAAGACTACTAAGTTGACTGACAACTGCATTGATATTAAGTACTTACTTGAATGAGGAGAATTTTCTTCATCACAATCTAATAATGAAGACACATATTTGTTAAAACATTCAAAACAAAATATCTGCATTTCATTTTCTTCAATACTAGAAATGTTTTAACACTTTTGACAAGACATTCTGATCACTGCTAATCATGCTACAATCTCCAGTTCAGTGTTTATGGTTGACCCAAACGAAGATTCGGGGTTATATTATTTAAGTAAAATAATCAACTATACACATGACAATGATTGGGAGGCTTTCAAGGTTTTCTGGTAAAAAAAAAAAAAAAAAAAGAAATGAGTATTATCCTGGACTTCTTAGATTCTTGATAAATTTGGAATATTATCAATATTTGAATATTTGAATATTTGAATTGATCTAAAACCTCAGTATATATGCTATCTTGAAAAAAAAAACATATTGATGATGCACTTGTTCAACCATTTACTTTGACTTTTGATACCTCATTTAGTTAATCATAAAAGAATAGAGACCTCTGTACCTGAAAAGAACAAATTTAATAGACCTATTTATTTGTATAATTGAAAGAGTGTATATTGGTGTAAATCTGAGATTCATTACACTTTAACAATGACTTTTTACACTTTTTGATTAAAAATTATCATCAGTTATTTTATCCTAAATGGATAAGAGATGAAATGTAGTTAACAACAGGAATGTAAGGAGGTATCAACTGTATATTTCCAATAGACGGTAAAATAATCTTACCAAGTCGGTTTGTCTTCAGCTTAAGGACAACAAGTGTCACAGCAACGGCCACGACCACAATCCCGAGAGAAACAGAAGCACCGATGATGAGCTCCATATTTCCTTTGTTTTCTACAAAATGGTTTTCTACAAAAAAAAATCATAGTAGTTTTAGTTCACTTTCAATATAAAAGTCATGTGTGGAATTTTATATTGGACCACTTGAACTTCAGATGTTTATGAATTATTAAAAAAATAACTTACAGTGCTGCAAAAGAAAAAGCATATTTTTCCCTTTTCTATTCTATCATTGTCTTCTCTCATATTTAAATGTTTCAGGTGATCAAACAAATGTTATTTTCACTTGCTCTGGATAATGGAAATCAATTTCTTTAGCCACACTTCACTCCCAAATTTGCACAGTCAAGTGATCACTGAGATAGAAACTAAAAAACAAAACAAACAAGACAAAAATCTATATTTTTAAAAATCAAACTATCATGCTTTGATATGCTTTAGAAAAGTTCTGTGACGTTAATCAGTCAGGGAAAAATTACAAATCCCTGTTAAGCCATGAAATAAGGTTGAATCTTCTCAGGAGTGTCTGACTTGTCAAAATTACTCTAAAAGCGAATGGACAATGCATCTATGAGACACAAACAAACTCCAAACTTGTAAAACACTGAAGGTGTCAGATAGTCAGTGTTCAAGATTCAACAACGAGAGAGAGGCATGGCAAAATGGCAGCCATAAAAAAAGCCCTAAAAAAACATATTCCAAAGAGTTTGGGGAAAATGTATTTTTTTAATAACTTTGATGTACTTTTACAACAATATATTGATATAGTTACATTTTATAAATTACTATATTTTTTAAATATTTATTTTAGTATCTCAATTTATTGAGCGAAACATTATACAGTTTCCACCCTCATTTTTCAAGCCTGTTTCGGATAAATATGATTTTCTGTATGGTATGATTATTTTCAAAGCAAAACATGATATTTAAGATTGGACTACTGTTTCAGATCAGTGAAACAAATGTCAATAGAGAAATGTTGAGAAATATGTCCAATGCCTGCTTAAAGTTTTTTCATTTTCAAAACGTACCTTTAATCTGACAAACAAGCCTCATCTACACCCATATTCAAATGGATTGCATATCACTATAGTTATGGTTATTTTCACTCTAGTGATATGAACAACATATCACTATAGTTTCCCACGTCTTTCTGAGGTGGAAAATATTTTTAGTACAATCAACATTGTGTTGTAATGCAGTTTGTCTTTCATTGCAAATAAGCATAAACCTATATTAGTATTGTCCTTTATTTTCAAGAAACAGGACATTTTCTTTCATACTGCAAGTGTCTAAATCAATAGACGGTCAAAAGGGATTATAAATTACTGAGCGGTCAAAGGTGTTTATGTCATTGTAAATGTATTTTTATGTACATGCCTGCTGACAGTACTGTATTAGGAAATTGGTTTGTTCCTATAGAGCCTATAGGAACAAATAAAGCCAGCTGGTCACCCAGAATATCTATCTAAAAAGCCTGGCCTTTATTGTTAATCTACTTATGTATGTTTTAATTTTTGGTATGACTTAACAAATCCTCTTATTTGCTGCAAGCTAATACAGTGGCAATGCATTTGTACGCTGGGTGTTGAATGACAATTGAACTAGATCAACCAGCCAACAACTCTCATTTGAAATTAAATAAATCAACTTTGATGTATGTGAAGTACAACTAATAGTTACTCACCCCATATCTTTACAATGTGTATTTTAGAGGCAAGATGATGGACTTCACAGGTGTAGGCAGAAACATCAGACTTCAAAATCTCTACATGATCTCTTCTCTGGAAGGTATTGTCATGATTTGGCCGAACTCCAGAGGTCATCAACCCATCATCTTTAGTCAGGACACGTCCTTCTCTTTTGATCTCTAGGATAATTTCAGGAGGATAGAAGCCTGTAGCCATACACGTCAAGATGATGTTTTGTTCAATGTTGGCCTTTCGTGAGAAGAAGTGGACTTCAGGTGGAGCTTTAAAGAGAAAATGAAACACGGCATTAGCAGGGAAACAATTCAAATCATTTGAACTTTTCCATATTTTATCAATTTAGCTGTATTTAAAAGCAAATCCTTTCTGAAGAGAAACAAATGCTACATTTATTTGACAAAGGAATCTTACAAACATCTTTGTACTTTAAATATACACCTACAGATCTTTAGACAAATGCTTGGATTTAGTAGAAAAGAAAAAATACATTTTGTGGTCTCAAAAACTGAATGAATTCACTATTTTGATCAAACTATATGAAGAATATTGAAGAACTCTGAGCAGCATTAAACCAAATTTTTATGTTACATATACCGGCTTTTGAAAGCTGTTCTCTCCCAAAGTCTCTAAACTTGGTCATCCATTCCATGCACTCCTTCTCCAGGTAGCCCTTGGTGTATTCCTTCAGCACCTGGACCTCATCCCACTTCCTCTTGGTTTCTTCTGCTGCATGAATGGGAGCAACCCAAACCTGTCTGTCATCGTCAAAGGACAGAAAGTCGCTTCCGTCATAGTTGTACATGTCCATCCCACGGACAAACTTCATTTTCCCATCAGGTTGAGTTTCACCCTCACAGCCGTGCATCCACTGAAGAATATGAGTGTCTGAAAGAAAAGAAAAAAAAAATAAGCGAAAAAAATAAAAGATTTCACATGCAAGAAAATATGAAGAGAATAAATTAAGTGTAATCTTGATGTTTAGATTGGACATGTATCATTCATAGTCGGCAGAAAACATTATTTTAGTATTTTTATCAATGACTTTAGGTATCCTAATCTCCTTGGATCTTACCTGTGTCATTCTGTCTCATTCGTTTCATCAATATGTCGATGTTGACCTTGAACCATTGCTGTTTGCTCTTTCTGGACTGGGTGCCTTTCTCCCAGTACTCTGGTTCAAGATATTTTTCCATCCAGTCCTCTTTAGGAACTTTTTTTTGGTTGTCACTGTCATAGTAGTCAATCATCCGGTTGTCCAGTAAACCCATGGCAGTGAACTCATGGAGCCCTGGCAGATCCACAGGTTTGGAGAAGGCCGTGTAGATGTAGGTGAGGGAGTGCTTTTCTGTAAGACAAAGGATGGAAATTACTTTTATAACATCAGTGACTACTTATTACTGTGCAAGCCTTTTTGAAATGACAATATTTAGGCTAAAACATGTGTACAAAATGCTCTTGCCATTTTATTATGGTCAAGTCTGTTTTAGACAAATTCAATTTCTAACTAAACACTTTATCAAAATATATTTTTAACATACTGACATTAAATTATATTATTTGTGAAACAGCGAATTGTTGTTGCTTTATCGTAAAAACGTTCTTAAATCATGCGAGATCATAAGTCTCATCATTTCTTACTTTACATAATGCTCTGACAAATATCTGGTTTTTCTTATTTAGTTTCCTTTAACATCACATTTTGCTGTGTTGGTTGTCTCTAGTTGTTTTGTACCAAAGTTAGACCATTTCATAGATGCTTCATAATTGTAAACTGGTCAAAACAGGGGTCAACGACACAATCACTGGAAATAGATTATTTAGAGCAACAGAAAACAAATCACACAAATTATTTTTTTTAACCTTCTTATCAGGGCTTGTTAACCCTGATTTCTGAAATGCGGCCCTGGTGTCATGGGGGAAATATTTTCTTAAGAAAATAAATAAACCTACCTCTGAACCTTTGTTAGAAATAAACAATAGAGCCACCTTACTTAGTAAGAAAAAGGTGAGCGATACCAAAAATATTCAGATCTTTAGACTTCAAGAGATCTCACTATGGCAGAAAACTTGTCCACTCTACACTTTAAATCAACTTAAATAAACTGTCTAAAGTCAGATCCTATGATGCTGGTTTAAAGAAATTTTCAATGTGATGTACTTTCAATTCAGTATTTGGACACACTTTACAGATTTATTAAACTTATCTTTCTTCTCGAGACAATAAAAAACCAGGAGAGGACAAGTAACAAAGGTCACTTATAACGTCTTATCATATTTATTCTGTTATTGCAACTATATGAGTGTCACACCGTCACAACTGACAAACATCATTTAGTAATTGTGTTCTCCCCTCACCATTTGTTGTGTTATCTAACTGGTTGGGAAGTAAAATACCCTTTATATTGCACAGGACTCCATAGTGGAGGAATGTGGGCTTTTTCATAAAAGACAAAGATATAAAATATAGAAAAAATATGCCAAAGCCACAATAACTTTATGAGGGCTATCACATTTTTACAGTCTGCACTTTGGACCCTTGGTTACCACTCAGTCTATTACATTTAGACCCAATCAAAGGTGAGAGCTCAATGATTTTTGTTTTAGATTTTCACCTTTTTAGAAATTCTAGATTTGTTTCATTAATCATCCGCTATCAGCATTCTTAAGACTTCTGTTTTTAACAAGCACAAAAGGTGGAATTTAGGTGAATTTCTTAGTCACCTGAGATGCTCCACCTTTCTCCACTGTATCAGGTTTCTATTTTATTAACTACATCGATATTGGTAAATCTTAACAACCATTCTTAGAAATGTAATAGCACATACAATCAGTTACTAAGACAAATGTCACATTTTTGCTTTCACTTTTAAAAATAAACTTAAAATCGTCAAAAAAACAAAACAAAATAAAAAAACCAACACAAAAACTCCTCTAACTTACCGCTGTTCACTGTCATTAAAGTCCCCAAAAGGACCAAAACAGCCAGGAGCGACATTCTGAACCCAAAGTAGGTTCCACTCTTCCTGGAGAAGCTCTTATGTTTGGCTGTTCGACGGCGCTCCTTTCTGTGTCTGTTACAAAAGCTGATTTGTTAGAATGTCCTCTGTGTTTTATGGTGTATTCCTGTTAATCATTTGCCTATGTGCCTTCAGTACATAGTCATAAATTAGAGAACTTTTGACTTTCTTTTTAAAAGACACAAACTTTCCAACCACCATAAAATTACAAAACAAATAAACATATTTCATTAATAATTTTTATATTTATTATCATAAATAATATATATTTTTTAAGAATCCAAGGTTTTGTGTTGAAACATATTTTACAAATTACAATGATACATCCAAACTGTAACATAAAATTATTTTATTTTTTTTATATAGAAATTACTTAAAAAAATATCCATAAAAACATAATTAGATGGGACCACAAAAAAGCCAAATCGCAAAAAAATAAATAAATAAGAGCTAATCCAATTCAAATAAAACAGATTTTGAAAAAAAATACTTATAGTCTATATTTAATCAAGTTAAAATCAGATGTTGAATCTGTACAAATAATGCATTTTGCAGTTTATCAACCCATCATAACTTTTCTTAACTTGGGTCTCATTGCTAAATTTTTATTGACTGATTACTGGGGTGTATCGGGTTTTTTGGTCTCTTACTTTGTTTAGTAGATCAACCAATCACTGCCAAAATAGACCTTATAGATTTATTTAAGTTGCAAAAAGTAAAAATTACCAGGCCATTTTCTATTTTTTAGACAGACTACTTTGTATGACAGGATGACGAGATGTTTTGGGAAGATATTTGATACACACTTCTAAGCAGATGGTGGCAGTAAATAAGATAGAAGAGGAACCAAAAGACGGTGTCACACCTAGCGACCGGGTAAAATACACTTCCTCTCTAAGATGAGAAATTCTGTCATCTCTCCATTTCAGACTGAACTGAAATGGAGACAGAATCGCTCTCAAGTTAAGACACATTGGCAGTAATTTTTATACTGAGATTTAAGCGGTCTGAGAGAACTCTGGGAATCTTTGTGTAATGTAAAACTTTTCCTGATGCATCTAAGCCCCTTTTAAAAAAAATTCTAAAGATCTTTTCACATAAACTACAAACCTTCTCAATTGTAAATAATCTGGATGGAATGAAGAAAACTACTGCAGAAATATATTTCAGTGACAGTTCATTGGGTAAAAATAAATTTGCATAATAAAAAAACCAACTTAAAGAATTCTTTGTTTTATTCAGATAGAAAACACAGTTACATGAAGGTACATTTTCTTTTTGAAGTCTTAATCATTTGAAAAAAATCTCAACAGACCAATGAATAGCAAACATAACAATATGATGATTTAAGAGAGACTGCAAAGATTCTATGTAAACATCTAGTTGCACACATAACTTGATTCGAACATTCGAGAAAAGTTGCAAATACTTCGTCTTTGCTCATAATGCTACAATTAGATAAAGAAAAAAAAATCAATCTTTGTACCACCAGTGCAAATACAGTACACAATATTTAGCCATTAAAAGCCCTGCAAGTCCCAAAATACAAGTAAAAACTTTTAAAGCAATAATGCAAAACAGAGTTCAAAAGGTAATCAAAAACATCCATGAAGTAGATCCAAAAGAGAATAACTAAATTCCCCTTATTCATAGATTACCACAAATAGCATGTGTAATCTTGTAACAAACATGATCTGGTTATCAAACTCAAAATACTTTCAAATTGTGAGTTTGATTTATTAGAGGTCTCCAAAACAACTCACATTAATGTATTTTTTCTTATTTTGAAGTCTCACAGTCTTTTTTTTTATTTTTTATTTCAAACTCTTTTTTTGAATAATTCCATATCTTTTGTTGGGGGGATTTTAGCAGCTTTGACAGAAGAAAAACAAATATTTTACATTAATGCATCACAGTGTAACATGTCCTCAACTGAAAAGACAAAAACCTGAAACTCATCTTTCCAATTCTTCTTTGTAATTAGGTATTGACATCTATATGACTACTTTGTCCCTAGTGTTTACTACAGGTTCTCAGATGCAATATGGATTAAATATATTTATGAGAAAACTTATTTTTTCATTCTTTAGATAATTTTATATGTTAGATTTCATATATCTGCTTGGGAGCATAACTTATTTCTCAATACTTTTGCCATGTTATAATTTGGTTCCAAATGACTGAAATAGCTAATTAGTCAGACTGGTGTGACTTTTCTTCATCGCTCTGATTGTTGGAACTTGGAAACAAATCTGCAGGAAAAAAAAAGATGTTTATTATTTTATGATACAAAATGTGCACAGCAAAAGTTTCAATTTGTGTAAAGCTACTTACTCTCAGCACCAGAGTCTTGGGATGAATTGGTTTATTCTAAAGAATATACAAGATATGTTTCTGTTAAATCAACTTCTTCAATACTTTTAAGAAAATAAGACATATTTGCCTTGTCTATTTCATCTATGAGCTTCTTTTTCTTGCTCTGTGATGACAAAAGTGATTTTCTATCCTATTCTCAACTCTATTATGAGGAAGTCTTAGTGGTATATAGTTTTAATACCCAAGTGATCAAAGCAGGGAAAAAATGGACATCTGTCATGATTGAACAACTCTGAATAAAAAAAATAAAATAAATTCTTACTGTGAGTTCTGAGAACCCTCTCATTATTTATACAATGAAAATCTGGGCTTTGCACTTTGGGATTTAAAAGAAATTTTATATAGAAATAAATTTAAACATCTTAATCTGCCTGACACTTTCTACAGAGTACTAAGGTGATTCATAAATGGATTGGCAAAGAAATAAATAACTTACTTGGATGAGAAGCACTGTCTGCAGAGGAATCTATAAATATAAAAAAAATTGAAACATTCAACACAGAAATATTTATAAATTGCATTATTTAGTGGAAATGCAGGTCTTATATTTGGAAAGCAGAGGGAATGTGGCAAAAAAAGCTGACATTGTCTTTTTATACTGAGATTTAAGCGGTCTGAGCGAACTCTGGGAATCTTTGTGTAATGAGTCAAAACCTTGCAAATAAATAGTATTGTTGTAGAAATTTTTACACTTGTAATATGTATCTAAATATTTATCTTTCAAATTTTAGCAAAATTATGAAACTTAGCCACTGGTGTATTAAAGGCTAAAGTAAATCTGTTTGAAAAGCACATGTGTTTTTTTTCTGACAGAAAATGGTTTTGAATGTGCTATGGAATAATACCATATGATGGTGCTTAATTTAAAAAGGTTAATGAAAAGAAAACGTACCTCTATCCATGAGGGGCTTCTTCTCATCAGGTGTGCTTGCACCAGTGACTGGTTCACCTACATAGAAATATTCAAGCACAGACAGTAAATACCAAATTCACTACAGCTAAATTTCTTTTTAATGTGCCATTTTAGGTGTATTCCCATTGTAAAATCTGTTTTTATTTAATTAGTTACATTTGTTTAGTAATGTTACAACAGGAGACTAACGTTTGAGGCAGGACAACTGTCAGTGTTGGTAAAGGATTACACAAATTGCTTGGAACCAGAGTTGCAACTATAAGACAACCTACAGGACATGACGTTTTCATAAATGTTAAAGTGTCCAGCACTGACCAACACAAAGCAAAGACTGGTTGGTCAGTGGTACACACTGGTTGACTAAAACTATATTAAAGCAACAAAAAACTAAGCTAATAATTTTTAGTTTAAATAGTATGTTCAAAACATTCAAATTTGCAATCAAAACAAGAGGCTGATTTCAGAATTTGAAGGAAGCAAAATATTCTAGAGAAAATGTGGAAAAAAGAGAGAAGAAAACAAACAACTTAAATTACATTGCACTCAAGACAAGAAGATAAAATGGTGGCCATCTTTTTTGTTGTCCCACTTCTTACTCTGTGGCGTTTTTATTTTAAACGTACCAGCAAACATTTCACTTGATTCTGTTCAATGCTCAAAAAAAAAAAAAAACAGACATTTATGCTAACTGCCTAACTGTGAGCTTCTTTTTCTACTGTGATGCTCTGTGCCAAGTCAAGAAGTGATCTATTCTGCAATGGACTCATTCAAGACTAGTCAGAGCAGGGTAGAGATGTGACTTTTGGTTTACACCTTCAAAAAGTCAGGCAGGTTTTCTGTTGTTTTAGAAATTAAAATTAATTAAATTCATCTATAACTGATGCTATATCTGTCAGCAAGTGTGCAGTACTTACACCCAGCTTCAGAGTTCTTCATGTTAATAGATTCATCTGAGTCTGAAAACAAGCAGTCAAATAAATAATCAAGTTTCACCTGTATATGTAAAAAATTTGACATATTTTCTGTGTCTTACAAAGCTAAAGCAGATGCACAATAAACCAAACTGTTTCACTATATATGCAAGCAATTCTCTCTCATCAAGGATTTCTGGTACAGTTCTTTTCTGTGATACTTAATATGGATCTTAGCGGTACTTACCAGTTTCATTTGATGATTTGGATGAAATCCCACTTTCTGCAAGCACATAGGAAAATGTTGAAAAAAATTCAAAATTTAAATGTCTGTGGTCTTGCAATTGTGTGATTCATTTGTAATCACAAATTGGTGTCAATATGCAACACCAGTAAAAATGTTGGTGCAAGAGTTTGGTAGGCTTGTAAAGTCTTGACTTTTCTTCCACAACATGCATTCATAATTACAAGTCAGATGTAAATGCAAAGTTTTCACATACGATATGCTGTAAAGGTAAATAGATAAATGGTTCTTACAAATTCCAGCATGAAAAAAAAAATCTTTTTACCATTATTAAGTTTTGGTGTCTTATTTAGATGAAGCAGATTTATATTTGAAACAGATAGGAAAGATCACAAAAAATGTATCTTTATTGTATTGATATAAGTATCATTAAACCTTGGCTGCAGTTGTCTCCATCTCCACCATTGCCTCCTGTAAAGAAACAGTTTGAAATGATTGATGACTTCAACATATGTAGGACAAATAACATTAATGATCTAGAAAATATGCTGTTCAACAACAAGAATAGCTTTTTAAGTTGACATTTTTAGAATCCTCAAAGGAAAACCTAAATTAAAAGCATCTGGAAATTTGCATCAACTAATATATTTTAGCTTTTACATTGATATTTTACCTATAGTATGCACTTACATTACTTTTACTGAGAAGAACTAATGTTATATAAACAAATTATTTCAAATACATAAAAAAGCAAAAATATATCTTTGCCTCCATTCAAGAGGGGTGATGTGACGTCTGCACATAGAAGCACAGATAAGGTATAAGAAGAGCAAACGGCTTGACAATCTTTTTAAACAGGTTTTTTAATTATTTTCATCCATCTATTGTCTATTTTCAGTTATTCATTAAGGGTTGCTGAGGAGCTTGTGCTTATCTACAGCGGTCATTAGAATAAACTAGCATCATTTCCCAACTAAACAAACATGCCGGTTGGGTAATAATGTCTTGCGAGGAACCACTAGGACTGGTCAACTGACATGTATTTAATGATTTATGATTTATTTAGCAGATATCAGATATTGTATTCTGATTGGTTGAGTAAATTATGTCAATACTGTATTGAATATAAATATCTGGGGAAAACATTCCCATTGCTACAATTTTCACAGACACTGCACTAATGTAGAATCATACATAAATAAAATAAGCAATTAAAAAAATCCTACATACCCTTGTTTTGGCTGGTGTGGTCGCCTTTGGGGTCTGCAGATACAGAGACACATACATTTAAAAGCACATGAGTTAAGAACCATAAGTGTCTCCTTTCTGACAGAAAAGGGTTTTGAATGTCTTATGGAATAGTACTGCTGAATTTACAAAGTTTAATGAAAAAATAACTTACCACTATCTATGAGGGGCTTCTTCTCATCGGGTGTTCTTGCACCAGTAACTGGTTGACCTACATAGAAAGATTCGAGCACATACAGTAAATACTGAACTCACTACTGCTAATTTTTTGTTTTCCTTCAGATTTTAAAATAATAATTTTTAGTTTGAATAGTATGTCTAAAACATTAAAATTTGTAATGGAAACAAAAGGCTAATTTCAGAATTTGAAGGAAGCAAAAGATTCTTGAGAAAATATGGAAAAAAAGAGAGAAGAAAACAAATTACATTTCGCTCAAGACAAGATGATAAAACAGTGTCCATCTTTTTTTGTTGTTGTTGTCCCACTTCTTACTCTGTGGCACTTTTATTTTAAACATACCAACCAAAATTTCACTTGATTTTGTTCAATACTCCAAATAAAAAATACATTTATACTAACTGTGAGCTTCATTGTCTACTGTGATGCTCTGTGACAAGTCAAGAAATTCTGCAATAGACTCTATTAGAATAATCAATTAGACCAAATAGAGATTAGTGTCAGCATTCAAGACTAAACAGAGCAGGGTAGAGACATGACTTTTGGTTCATGTATAACTGACGCTGTATCTGTCAGCAAGTGTGCAGTACTTACACCCAGTTCCAGATTTCTTCATGTTAATGGATTCATCTGAGTCTGAAAACAAGCAGACAGATAAATATTCAAGTTTCACCTGCACATGTAAAAACTTTGACATAATCTCTGTGTCTTACAAAGCTAAGGCAGATGCACAATAAACCAAACTGTTTCACTATATATGAGATGTGACTTACTGGAGGAGTTTACAGACTGTAGACCTAAAAATAAAGACATATGTTAGTATATCTCATTATTCATAAGCAGCTCAGAAAACTGAACAAACTTTTGTACTTAAAACAGAGTGTGAAAGTGATTGACAAATGCATTGCAAAGAAATAAAGCACTTACTTGAATGAGGGGAGTCTTCAGGGCAATCTATTAATACAGAAATATTTATTAAAACATTTAACAGCAATTTATTTGTATATTAAATTCCCCAACCTAATGATCACCACCTGATAAGAAATATCTTTAGAACTTCATGGTTTTAAATAACGCTTTAAAATAAATACATATATTCTTTTAAATAAAAATAAAACAACTCTATGACCATTGTTTTTTTTTTTTTTTTAGATTACCAGGGTTTTAAACAATAATAATATTTCTTTAAACATGATTGAAGACATGAAACCTACAGACTAATGGCATAATAACGCTGATTTTCTGGAATGTGTGTATGTGCATTCCAATGGTTGGGAAATCCAGGGGATGAATGTTAAGCCAGAGATCAGAAGAAAACATTTTCATAAATGAAATATTTTGTTTCCCAAAGTATATTTAAACATGAGTAAGTGCTGGGAATAATAATCAGAAAGTGGACAAGAGTTTTTCCGTTAGAGTCAATCACTTTAACAACTACCAGTGGTTGTATAAAGGAAGAACTGTGAATGCAAATACATTGCTTGATGTTGTAAATACGTGCAAACACAGGGCATGTAGAGGAACATGTGTATTTAATATTGTATCTGAAAACAGACTTTCCCATGAAAATGATCTTAAATCTAACCAGCCTCATGAACTGATCATGTGCTCTTCTACTCGCTGAATATGAAATCAATGTACAATATGCAAGAACATTATTCTTGCATATAACTCATAAAATGTAATGAATGAATATAACCTGCTGGCTTCCAGAGTTTTCCTTGCGAAAACCAGAAATGAATTCTTGATTTTTTTGATAAACCTTATGTATTATGCACAACGACTTTTTGATGGAGGTGAAGTTCAATGGATCAAAAAGCTCAGTATAAATTAAAAACTACATGAATAATGGAAATTAGTCTGCTATGTAATGATGGACTATTTAGCCACTCATTATGACCTGATATCTCATAAAGTACATAATAAAATAATAACAACCTCTGTTCCTGAAAAAGAATCTTGAAATACTTTTTTCTGTTCAACTGAAACACTGTATAAGTGTGTTTAAATAATTGTAATTGTGACTTTTAGTCATTTCAGTATATTTTATTAAAAGTTAATTTGTTGTCTTAATGAACATCCAGTTATGGAACAAAAGGTATATAAGTGATCTTTAATGAATAAAGAGGAAAAAAAATCTTACCAAGTTTTTTTGTCCTCATCTTAAGGAAAATAAGCGCCCCACCAATGGCTACAATCACAATCAGAACAGTGACAGCAGCACCAATCATGATGGGCATATGTTCATTGTCTTCCACAATAATGTGATCTAAAACAAAACAAACTTCATATTAATTTTAGTTCACTTTTAGATTATGAGACATGCAATCTAAAGTAAGATTGTAGGTGCTGTGACTAGAAGAAATCCATCTTCGATCACAAAACCCCTCAACCCTTAAGAGAGTTTATAACATGACAAACTGGTAGAAATGGTGAAGATGACTTTATTGAGCCTATGCGTGTCTTAAGCAGGGAAGATTGTGGAAAACCAACAGAAAAAATGCAGGTAAAATGGATTGTTTCTTCTATCAACCAATCACAACACCTAAAAGGCAGTGTAGCACTTAGCAACCAGATCAACCACAGCTCCCCACTAAGACCGAATTTTCTGTCATTGGAATTTATGAGCTTGATATTAAAACATAATTTAATATGATGGGTGTCGGATTAAAATTGAACTTTGTCAACACTGCTTTGATTTTAAGTAAACAAACTGATATATGAGACAGTTTGTTTCATACACAAATGATGGGAAACTAAAAGTTTCTCACCCCATTTCTCTTCAACATGCACTTTAGAGGCAGGATGATTAACTTCACAGGTGTAGACGGAAACGTCAGACTTCAAAATCTCTACATGATCTCTTCTCTGGAATGTGTTGTCATTATTTGGGCGAACTCCAGTGGTCACCAACCCATCATCTAAAGTCAGGACACGTCCATCTCTTTTGATCTGCAGAGTGATGTCTTTTGGTAAGAAACCCGTAGCCAGACACGTCAAAATTGTGTTCGTCTCAGACTTGGCTTTACGAGTGTACAAATGCACTTTTGGTGGACCTGGTGAGAGAAAAATGGAAAAGCTTGTTGCAGGATAGACAACATATATTGCAGAAATTTTAATCAATGATCTTTTTATAGTCATATGCTTTCATTCATGAGAATTAAAGTATATTGAAGCATAAAAGGCCTTTTGTTTATAAAGTTTCTCTTTAAAAGTACACCAAAAGTTTTCAAAACAGCTGATTTATTTTTGTTTGACTTTGTTCAGGAAATTATTTTTAAGCAAATCTAAGCATATGGAAAAAAAATAAACCAAAACATTAAAGGCAAGAAAATATATACATACTGGCTTTTAAAAGCTGCTCTTTCCCAAAGTCTCTAAACTTGGCCATCCATTCCATGCACTCCTTCTCCAGGTAGCCCTTGGTGTATTCCTTCAGCACTTGGACCTCATCCCACTTCCTCTTGGTTTCTTCTGCTGCATGAATGGGAGCAACCCAAACCTGTCTGTCATCGTCAAAGGACAGAAAGTCGCTTCCATCATAGTTGTACATGTCCATCCCACGGACAAACTTCAGTGAGCCATCAGGCTGAGATTCACCCTCGCAGCCGTGCATCCACTGGAGAATATGTGTGTCTGTAAGAAACATTAGAGAATTAATTGTTATATCTTGTTGCTGTCGTAAGAATATTGACATTTACATTGGACCTCTGTCAATGATCGTTCACAGTAGTCATTACTTTAATGCTTTGATTATTGATTGTAGGTATCCCAAATCTCCTTGGATCTTACCTGTGTCATTCTGTCTCATTCTTTTCATCAATATGTCGATGTTGACCTTGAACCATTGCTGTTTGCTCTTTCTGGACTGGGTGCCTTTCTCCCAGTACTCTGGTTCAAGATGCTCTTTCATCCAGTTCTGTTTGGGGACTTTCATTTGGTTCTTGCTGTCATAGTAGTCAATCATACTGTTATCCAGTAAACCCATAGCAGTGAACTCATGTAACCCTGGGAGATTCACTGGCTTGGAGAAGGCTGTGTAGATGTAGGTGAGAGAGTGCTTTTCTGCAAGATAAAAGACGGGAAAAAAAATTGTGCAAACCCTGTAATTATTATTTAGGTGAAACTTGGGTCAAAATCTCTGGATAAAAATGCTCCTGGTATGAAGCCCTTTTTCAATTTGAGTTTAGACGTTCATGATACTGAATATTTTTTATGTAGTTAAAAAAAAAGTTGACTTTTTCAGAGAGGGTGAGAAAAAAAGTAAAACATATGTACTATACTGCTGGGACAAAAAAACTAACAAAAACACCCTAGTGTTGATGCCACTCATGTCAAAACTATCCCAGTAATGTTGTCTGTCCACATTCAGCCAGACTGCCGCACCTTCATGCTGTTACCTGGAACTATCGGAAAGTACCGATGCCTTCCTGGAACATTTTATATAATGGTGAACGATATTTGTTGGATTTAAGTACCGTATTTTCCGGACAATAAGTTGCACCAGCCAAAAGAAATGCATAATAAAGAAGAAAAAGACAGATAAGCCGCACTGGAGTATAAGTCGCATTTTTAGGGGAATTTATTTGATAAAATCCAACACCAAGAACAGAAATGTCATCTTGAAAGGCAATAAAAATAAAATAAGAGGCAACAGGCCGAATAATTGTACGGTATGCTAACGTTACATGACACATGAACAGAGAACTGAGAACGTGCCTGGTATGTTAGCATGACATTTTAAGAGTTATTCAGATAATTATAGCATAAAAACATGCTAACAAGTTTACCAAACCAAATCACTATACGAAATCAAATCTTCGCCCTCGATGTCGCTTGTAAACAACTCTGCTAACTCCAAAGGCAGAATAACACAGGCCTAGAGCGCCCTCTTGCGATTTAGTGTGAAAATAATATGTGACATGATATAATGATGCGTTTTCCACACATAAATCGCTCCATAAAATACGGTATATATTTTTTAGTCTCGTACATGACAAAACTGCCATAACCATTTTACTTGTCTTAATGTTCCATATTGCAAAACGTTATTAGATCAGTCTTAGATTAGAGCTCATTAACTATTTTTCTTTAGTTTTTACCTTTCAGAAATTCCAGACTATTATTAACCATGTACCATCAGCATTCTTAACATTTTAATATTTAATAACAACAAAGGCAAAGAGTGATCCTATGTGAATTATGAACACAGCTAAATATCAACAAACATATTTTAAGTTTAATAGAACAATACATTGAGTTAGACAAATGTAACAAGCAGTTTTACTTTCGCTTTAACAAATCCACCTGAAATTGTCAAAGTAAAATAGAAGAAAAATACTTACCGCTGCTGACGGCTATTCCAGTCCCCAAAAGGACCAAAACGGCAAGGGGCGACATTATGAACCCAAATTAGGTTCGGCTCGTCAGGAACCGACTTATGTTGGGCTGTAGGACGGAGCTCCTCTCCGTGTTTTTCCAAAAGCTCACCTGTCAGACTGGTTCTCTGTTTCATGATCTCCTCTTACTCATTCACCGCTGTGCCTTTAGGGACCGTCGGAAATCAGAGAACTTTTGACTTCCTTTAAAATCAACGTAGTTTTAAATCACTTACCCATCTGCCACAAAAATAAAAAGCAATAACAATAAAATAAACACGGTAGAGCAGTTGTTTTGCAACACATGCCACTTTGATCAAAGACTTCAAAATTTTTCATAAAATATGTTTTATTGAAAATTTAAAACCACAATCAAAAAGCATAATCCATGCATGACAAAAAACTTCAAAGTTTTAAAACATTCCAATTCAAAGCTTCATTTTAATCCCAATTCAATATAATTAAAATGAGAATCAACAAATCATTATAAAACAAAACTATGGGAGTTTGCAAAATTTGTTAACTGCAGCATTATTTAGGTTCTCTAAAATTTTATTGCTCCCAATTATCAATCTGTGAATATTTTTCTCATTTATTAACATAAAAACAATTAAAAATACAAAGAACCCCAAATACCCAGGTAATATACAATAAGACACGTAATTTAAAAACATAGAAGATTAAATTTATAATCCATTAAAAAAAATTCCAAATAGCTCCAAACAAATACAGATACATTGAGTTTGAAAACTATTTTCAAAAATCTTTTCTCATTGTTGTCCTGTTAAAGTGTAACCTAACAAGTTTGTATTTTACAAGACGTCATTTCTTTACAAGTTCACATTTGATGCGCTTTCATTTTTTAACCCTTTTGGAACCAGATTCATCTTGAAATAAACAAAAATAATAACAAAAAAGAAACTTATTAAAATGGATAAAAAGCAAAAAGGGCTGGGCAATATGACTTAAAAACTGGATCTCAGATTCTTTCCATACACCATCCGATTTTAATGTAATTTTTTCAAAATAAACTAAATATTTTAAAAAACTTGCTTTTATTTCAATCATCCCTTCTGTGTGCAGACCTGACTTATAAGTCCAACTAAAATACAAGCAGCTTGTAAAACAAAATGGTTGGCACTGAGGGTGGGTTGACTTCACTGAACTACAGTAGCCCAAAGAGTTAATTGATGACAAAAAAAATCCAGATTTTCTAAAAATTAAATCTTCAAAAACAGAAAATACTCAATCAGAATGACCTATTGTTCAGCCCTAATAACAACATTTAGACTTAACTACTTCGATACTTAAATTAAATATCATTATGATTAGACATGAAAACAAAAAAAATTAAATGTGGCTCATTTGCTTTCATAACAGTTGCAGTTTATGCCAATAGTTTAGGCTCAGAAGAACAATCGAAATGTTCAGATTTACAGAGAGCAGTGAACGCTCCACCATGTCTGAAAATGGGTTTTTTACAGTTAGCTACTTCCTTGTGTTGTGTAGCAATAATAAACTTATGGTGCATGTTACATTTCTGTTTCTGAGGAGAACTTTAAATGTTCCTAGAAACTAAAGAGTTTATCTTAAACTTTTTTCCCATCTAATGTTTTTGAAATGCTTTTTTACACCACTGGTGCTAAATGAAAAGGAACACCAAATCAGATTTTACTCCTGTAATCTGACAACTAAAGTCAGAGTCATTAATCAATTCAGTTAGCCAGTTGTCTCTCATTGTTCATATTACATATATCACATTTTGCATCAGAAATGCATGACCTCGTTAAAAAAATATATAATTTATAAGCTTATTCAAATTTCAGTACTTTAAAGTTTCCACGAGCCCATCTTAAATATTTAGCATTACCATTTTCAGCATGAACTCTTTCTTTCCTTCAGTTTTAGTTTCCTCAATTGTAAGTACATTCCAGTTACTTTAGCATGTATTGACAACGTTACTTATCTAATGTAAGAAGCCTTAACTTATGGAAACATATCTTATTCAATTGTGTGATTGCCCTTGAGTGTCTTCATATGTGCATGGCAACACATTTACTGAACAATATATAAACGCAAAAAGTGATCTAAACCTTCTTGCGCTACCACCACACAATGTTCTGAATTTTCACTCGATCGAAGAAAAACCACAACCATAATGAAATCTGCATTTCTATTAGTGGTTCTGCTTTTGAATATGTTTGAAGCATATATACATGTAGAAGTGAAATGTAACCATATAAACTGTGCTTCCCCAGCTGTTTAGAAGTATCTGCTATGAAAAATACCAACTGAGAGACAAATAAGTAATCTTCTGGAACAAGCTCTCATATCATTTCAACTCCAAGAATGATTTGTTTACTTTATGCATTCTACTACTCTTAAAACTTTCTTTGAATGTTTCAGTTACTTTGAATTACAACAAGCAAATATATTAGTTTTTATGTTCATTTGCTGCTTAGGTTGAGAGAGCATAAGTTAATTTGATTAAGTTTTTACAAGAAATGGTATAGGTTTTGTACGTTTCAGTTGGTTTTTGTAACGTCGTTTTTACTGAGAGACAGTGAGTAACAGATTAATTTAATAAGCTTCCCTAACTCAAGTTATTGAAATGCTTTTATGACTGTAACAGAGTTCTATCGTCCTGTAGATTTTAATGCAACAGCTCACTCAAAATTTGGTAGTTGTTGAAATGAAGTTCTGTTAACAGAAGTTGAACAATAAAGAAAAAGCGTGCAAGTGTTTCCAAGTAACATTTCAAGCATCAAATTAATAGCAAAATTATTGGCCTATATGACAAAGCAGCTTAAAGAATAATAGCATGATTTTTTAAACACACGTAAAGAACAATATTGAACTGCAGCTTCCCTAACTACAAAGAGCCTCAGAGAAAGCCAACAGAATAAAAGTGCTCAAAGCTTTTCACCCATTTTTTTCATGAGTGAAAATTATGCGTCAAACTGGTTATTCAGACGTTTGCAGTCATCTGACCAGTGTTCAGATGATCATCACTTTCCATTGAACTTTGAATTACTTGACTGAGGAGTCTGCCTTTAATCGCTGGATTCTCTGGCTGTTGGGACAAAATGACAAATCTTTCTTCAGTATATCGTTATTTTCTTGTCTTACATAAATATGTAAATTGAGTTTTTTTTAGGTTTTCAGCTACCAAACTAACAGAACTACATTTAAGCATGAATACTAACAAATTCCCCTTTTACTTTTGGATTACACCACAAAAAAACAAGAAGGGTTTTTGTTCTTTTAGAAATTACAATTCATGCAGCACAAGTTATGCTATGCCTGCCAGCATTGTGCAGTACTTACAACCAGCTCCAGAGTCTCTGGTGTTAAGAGATTCTTCTGAGCCTGAAAACAAGCAGTCAGATTGAAATGCAGGTTTTACCGGTTTGTATAAAAACTTTCACATAATCTCTCTGTCTTACAAAACCAGTGCAGATACACCACAAACCAAACTATATCATTTTATATGCAAGAGCACTCCTGAAGCAATTCTCTCTCATCAAGGTTTGTTGGTACAGTTCTTTTCTGTAAATACTTAATATGTATTTTAGCTGTACTTACTATTTTCATTCGACGTATTTGATGAAATCCCACTTTCTGCAAGCAGAGTAAGAAATGTAAAAGTTAAATGTCTATGGTCTTGCAATTTTGTAATTAATTTGTAAATGATTTCAGATTTCTTGTGCCAGTTTCCCCTTTTCTTTTATTAGCTGCTAAATATTAAGTATTTAGCAGTATATAAAACTAATATTAAATTTTAACAATGGTTAGAATGTTCCCTAGAGTTTGGTAGACTGATAAAGTTTGACTTCAAACTTTATATTGTAAATATTTTTATTTTGTTTTGGTCTCTCATTTAGATAAAGTAGGAGTGAAACATAGGGAAAAATGTCACAAAACAGAATATTTTTATTTAATTATTCAACCTTGGCTGTTGTTGTCTCCCTGTCCACCAGCGTTTCCTGTAAAGAAATAGATTGTAATGATTTAGGACTTCAACATAGGAAGGACAAATAACATTAATGAACTTTAAAATAGGGTGTTCAACAAAAATTTTTTAAAGGTAAGCATTATTTATAATCCTCACAGGAAAACCAAGATCTAAAGCTTTGTGAAATTTATATAAATTAATGTGACAATTTTATTTTTGCAGTTTTTACAGATTATGATTTTAGAACTTTATGACAATCAGAAAACCTGCCCAGAGTTTATTTCACAGGACCCAAATTGGAAGCAAGTTGATTTGAAATGGACACATTTATATTTCACCTTCAATATGGCGTCAAATTGTGCTCATAACTGATCATATATAAATAAAATGACATGACACATACTTAATGAAATAAATTTACCTTCAGTTTCATTCATGAGTGGTATGGTAACACCGTCATTCCCTGTACCTGCAGAGATGTACATACAAGGTATATGAAGACCAAATTGCTTCAAAATATTTTAAACACTTCTGTTTTTCATTTTAATCTATCCAGCATTGTTTACACTCAGTTATTCTTTAAGGATTGCAGGGGGAATGGTTCCTATCTCCAAAAGCCATAGGGTAGAAGGTGGGCTTCACCCTGGATAGGCCTCCAATCCATCACAGTTAAACAGAGGGACAAACAGCACTAACAACCATGTACATACTAACAATTAAAGACAGTTTGCAGTAACCAGTTAGCCAAACATGGGTGTTTCTGGGCTGTGGGAGAAATCTGGAGTACCCAGAGAATCCACACATGAATGGCGAGAACCTGCAAACTCTTCACTGCTACTCGGCAACAGTGCCAATACCTGAAACCACTGCGCAATAAACTCATTACAGCTGACAGCTGAAATGCATTTTTAGAATAAATGTCTAAAAGACTATCAGGATATTCAATGGTACTAATTACTATTGAATTAAACAATACAAAATGACAAACACTTACCATTGTTATGGGTGATGTGACCATTGGTGCCTGCACAAACAGAGACACACAGATTTATTGATAAGAAGATTGAACTGCTTCACAAACTTGTATTTATTTTATTAAATAATCATAACTTAGCATCATGAGCATAAAGTAGCATTGATACCCAACTAAAGAAGCATTGATACGCAACTAAAGCTAATGTATTGCTTATTAGCTTATTACCCTAAGTACATACTAACAATTAACAATTTGTTATTAATTATTTCAATTATTCAATTATTACATAACATCAATTATTAATGGATGGAAACATTTTTAGAGGGGCATTTGTATAAAGCAACTTTTTGCACATTGACACAAACAACCATGCACATACTAACATTTAAAGACAGTTTGCAGTAACCAGTTAGCCAAACATGGGTGTTTCTGAGCTGTGGGAGAAATCTGGAGTACCCAGAGAATCCACACATGAATCGCGAGAACCTGCAAACTCTTGACTGCTACTCGGCAACAGTGCCAATACCTGAAACCACTGCGCAATAAATCCGTTACAGCTGACAGCTGAAATGTATTTTTAGAATAAATGTCTAAATAATTATCAGGATATTCAATGGTACTAACTACCATCCATCCATCCATTATCCGGTCACCCTTCTCCCTAACGGGGTTTGGAGGTTCTGGTACCTCTCCAGCTGCATTCCACGCGAGAGGCGGGGTAACACCCTGGACAGGTCGCCAGTCTGTCGCAGGGCAACACAAACAGGACAAACAACCATCCACACACACACACACACCTAGGGAGAATTTGGAAAGACCAATTAACCTGACAGTCATGTTTTTGGCCTGTGGGAGGAAGCCGGAGAACACGGAGAGAACCCACCATGCACAGGGAGAACATGCAAACTCTGTGCAGAAAGACCCCGGGCCAGGAATCGAACCCAGGACCTTCTTGCTGCAAGGCAACAGTGCTACCAACTGCGCCACTCTGCAGCTCGGTACTACTTACCATTGAATTAAACAATACAAAATAACAAACACTTACCATTGTTATGGGTGATGTGACCATTGGTGCCTGCACAGACAGAGACACACAGATTTATTGATAAGATTGAACTGCTTCACAAACTTGTTTTCATTTTATTAAATAATCATAACTTAGCATCATGAGCATAAAGTAACACTGATTCCCAACTACAGTAGCATTGATACGCAACTAAAACTAATGTATTGCTTATTAGCTTACTACCCTGGCTAACTATGCAATTATTAATGGATGCAAAAATTTGGGGGGGCATTTGTATAAAGCAACTTTTTGCACATTGACACAAACAACCATGCACATACTAACATTTAAAGACAGTTTGCAGCAACCAGATAGCCAAACATGGGTGTTTCTGGGCTGTGGGAGAAATCTGGAGTACCCAGAGAATCCACACATGAATCGCGAGAACCTGCAAACTCTTGACTGCTACTCGGCAACAGTGCCAATACCTGAAACCACTGCGCAATAAATCCGTTACAGCTGACAGCTGAAATGTATTTTTAGAATAAATGTCTAAAAGATTATCAGGATATTTAATGGTATTAATTACCATTGAATTAAACAATACAAAATGACAAATACTTACCATTGTTATGGGTGACGTGACCATTGGTGTCTGCACAAACAGAGACACACAGATTTATTGATAAGAAGATTGAACTGCTTCACAAACTTGTTTTTATTTTATTAAATAATCATAACTTAGCATCATGAGCATAAAGTAGCATTGATACCCAACTAAAGAAGCATTGATACCCAACTAAAGAAGCATTGATAATGTCTTGCACATTGACACAAGCAAATTCAAAAACTTTTAAAGCAAACCATGAAAATGTGGCAGCCAGAAAACTTGTCTAACCACAGAGAGCATTGAGTTACATACAAAACTAATGATGTGAGCTGATGATTATAAATAAAAAAAACTTGGACACTAATGAACACATTGTCCTCTGTCACTGTAGTATGTATGTCTGTAACTAAATGCAATTTAATTAAAGAATACAAAAAAAAAACAATAAGAAAATACTTACCACTGATTTGGATTACACTGACACTACTGTAACCTGCACAAAGATAACACATGACCAAAAATAGAGTTCAATTCTCTTTTTAATAACATATTTTAAAAGTATTTTTGCTAGGTAATAACACATTGCTAAAACGTACCCTATAAATTTCAAAGCAAAGTTCAAATTTTCTTGATTTATGCTTAATTTATGTCTTAGGTACACTGGTACTTAATGACATTTCTTTTGAGTATTTAAATGTTTTTGTCCTCTTAGACAATATTTCTGACACATCCTTGCATCTTCTGTACCAGCTTTGAAACAACTATCCAGATTGTAAAGGGGGCTGTGATTGGTTGTATAAATAACGTCGGTACATTTAGCATAAATGTCCAGAGCCCACATACACTAGACCACACAAGGTGACCAACCCTGTCCTACAGGACCCCCAATCATGCTGGTAATCATGCTGCTGCACACCCGACATAAATAAATAGGTGATTAAAAGGCTTTTACAGCAGTTAGAGCCATGCTAAGATAATGCAGTCATTTGAGTCAGCACAATAATAAAAGACACAAAGATACTTGTTTTGCAGAATAATTTTTGTCTCAATTCTTTCCCCATTTGTCTTCCATAATATGCCTCCATGTCATATAAAAGAACTAAGCCATGAAACAAAATGAAGAAAAACAAACACCTACCATTGTTTTGGGTTTCTGTGACATCACTGTTGCCTGCACAAACAGAGATACATACATTTACAGATATAATGACTAACCTTATTTTAATACAAATTTTTAATGCCACTGCAAAGAGTTTTTAAAAAAAAATAAACTCCACTATATGGATGTACTTACCAAATCTCCTCTTTTTGTACACAAACAGACAAGCAAGAACCACCCCAACAACAACAACCAGCAGAATAGCTCCAAAAGCTCCAATCATGATGCCGGAAAGACCTTGTTTATCTTCGTTGCAATTGTGATCTATAACAGAAAATTATTTCCTATTATTTTTATATTGAATTCACATTAAACATCAGTGTGATAGATGTAAATACAAATATCTGGAGCAACTTTACAAAGAACACTTAACTGGAATCTTAGTGCAAAAATAAGTAAGAATTCAAAATCAAATAATTACATTAAGAATGATTTGGATGTCTAAGGCTACATTTTGACAGTTGCATGTGGCTTTGATGCTGCAAACCAACTTTGACCAGACATAGCCAAATATAATGATTAAAAGAAAAAACAAAGTTAAGCAATTTTATAAATAAGATAAAGAAGGCTACCACCTGAATTCAAGCTCAGACCTAATGCATTTCTTTAATGGATTTGTTTTTATCTCTTTATCGCAAAAAATACATGAGCAATCTACATCTGTATTGTGACCAGACTATTACGCCAGTCTTTGGTGATAATGTAGAAATTAACAGTAAAGTTTGAAGAATGACCAAAGATAAATTAGGGTAAAGATTCTTTAAAAACAAATCTGGCTATTCAGATGAAAGTGACTAACAATTCTTTCTTAATAATGAAGTTCTTCAGCACAGATATGAGATTTAACAGAAACACTCTTTGCAATATGCATACTGTGCAATTGCATTAAGAATATATTTTCTGTATATTGTGTAGCCGTTATTGGAAAAAAATACTGAAAAAAAAAGTAAAAAAAAAAAAAAAATTATTTACCCCATTTCATTTCAAGATGCACTTCAGAGGCAAGATGATGGACTTCACAGGTGTAGATGGAAGCATCAGACTTCAAAATCTCCACATGATCTTTTCTCTGAAAGGTGTTGTCATTATTTGGGCGAACTCCAGTGGTCACCAACCCATCTTCTTTAGTCAGGATACGTCCATTTCTTTTGATCTGCAGAGTGATGTCTTTTGGATAGAAGCCCGTAGCCAGACACGTCAAAATTGTGTTCGAATCGACTTTGGCCTTACGAGTGAACAAATGCACTTCAGGTGGATCTGGTGAGAGAAGTTAAAATGTTTGTTGTTAAGTAAGTAATATTGGCTCAATATAAACACTTATTTTTTATAATAGTATTCTGTTATTTATGAGATCAATTGAATATTAAAATGCAGTTATTTATAAGCATTCATTTTATATGTGATAATTTGTGTGTATACTAGTTTAAAATTACACAACTGTTGCATTTTTTTTTAAATAATTGTAATGGCATTAACTCAAAGATAACACATGACCAAAAATAGAGTGTACAATTAATGTACACTTAATGTACAATTAATGGCCTCATTAATTGTACACTGCATAAAGCCATCTACTACAACCTTTTGTAGTGAATACTGCTGTGGTTTCTGGTTGATTTTGCTCGACAAGTTATTTTTCAAAACAAAACATGTTGTTGACACTGAACATTTGAAATCGGAATGCTAAGAATAACTTCTTTTTGTAAGAAGCAAAAAAAAAACAAAAAAAAAAAACAAACAAACAAAAAAAACCTAACATCATACATACTGGCTTTCACAAGCTGCTCTCTCCCATAGTCTCTAAACTTGGTCATCCATTCCATGCACTCCTTCTCCAGGTAGCCCTTGGTGTATTCCTTCAGCACCTGGACCTCATCCCACTTCCTCTTGGTTTCTTCTGCCGCATGAATGGGAGCAACCCAAACCTGTCTGTCATCGTCAAAGGACAGAAAGTCGCTTCCGTCATAGTTGTACATGTCCATCCCACGGACAAACTTCATTTTCCCATCAGGCTGAGTTTCACCCTCACAGCCGTGCATCCACTGAAGAATATGAGTGTCTGTAAGAAAATGTAGGAGATAAAAGTTATTAAAGCCCAATAAATAAAAAGTTTACAGACAAGTAAAGATTTTGAGAATAAATAGGATGTTTCTATTCACCTGTGTCATTCTGTCTCATTCTTTTCATCAATATGTCGATGTTGACCTTGAACCATTGCTGTTTGCTCTTTCTGGACTGGGTGCCTTTCTCCCAGTACTCTGGTTCAAGATGCTCTTTCATCCAGTCCTGTTTTGGAACCTTTTTTTGGTTCTCGCTGTCATAGTAGTCGATCATCCGGTTGTCCAGTAAACCCATGGCAGTGAACTCATGGAGCCCTGGCAGATCCACAGGTTTGGAGAAGGCCGTGTAGATGTAGGTGAGGGAGTGCTTTTCTAAAACACATATAAATAAAAGAACAGGTATTAATTTAAAGAGAGGCTTGTGAAAAACTGAAAGTGGTTATGCTTTAATGGAAAACTGTCTATTTTGGTCAAAGTCACTAAGACCAGAGAACCTTATGAAGAACACTACACTGAAACTTGAAGGTACTTTAAATATTCAAAATAAATAAATAACCAAAAACAATACATAAAACGGAAATAAACAAAATCACATACAACTTGAAACCATAAATAAAATGGATTATGATGTCTCTTTAAACAAAATTTCCCTTCATCAAATGTTAGTAATCAGAATTGGAATTACTGTGCTAATTTTAATTGATCATATAACTGATGGATTAATTAATTGCTTATGGCAGCAAGCTTAGTAGCCTATGCATCTATGGAAAAAAAATAATTATCACACAAAATGCTACAGTTTCCTCTTTACTTTGTTTCAGCTTTTGTCTGCGGTTCTAATGAGGAAGTTTTAGAGTCACACCTCATGTCGCAGTAATCTAAGCAATGCTGTTTGTCTGCATGACCCTTTGACAAAGCAGTTACTTACTAAGTTCTAGAACATGCTTCTGTAAATGAAACCCACAATATAATTCATAACTGTCTTAACTTTAAGGTGTTTTGATAAATTCTGTAAAATTCCCCAGACATAAACCCACCTAACTTTATGAAGTTGCTGATTACAACTGATTCCTTTGGACAGGAAGTTAACCTTTTGACGTTAATCTACTAAATACGTAACACCATTTAGTTAGGATAAAATCATTTTATCAGTAGATCATTAAAGTATTGTATTAGTTAAAACACCCAAGTGACGTGTCAGCCAGTGTTTTCTATCCTTGTCTCTTCCGCATACTTCAGATTGATCTTTGGTCCAAACACTTGATTTACTGGTTATAAATGACCTCAGCCTGATAAGCCTCGCTGTGAAAAGGTGTGCTGAACCAGAAAACAAATATCTGAAGTATGTTGGAAAGAGCTTATAAAAGGACGGGACGACGAACGCGGCGGCTTCGTGTGCTAATGAATATGCGCTAGACACGAATATGCGCCAGACATACAGCGACAAAGTTCAACTTAAAAGTTCTGGTGCCGGTTTATTTTAAACTGGGTCGACACAGAACATTTTAACTCTACTTAATATTAGCAAACGGGTCTAGTTAGTCGGTAAATAACAAAAATATATCGACAGAAGGCCTATTTTTATACGACGTCACAACTGTTTTTACTTTCGCTTTTAGCAACAGCGACAACATGTCAGAAGAAAACAAGAATATTACCGCTGTACACCGTAATCGCTGTCCCAAAAAGGACAACAAATGATAGAAGACTCATTCCGGGCCAGAATCAGGTTAAGTTCTTCAGCTGAAATGTATTTATTTTGGATTTTTTTGGTTATCTTTTTTCCCCGGGAAGCCTCGTTGTCCTCCGCTTTGACTGCTGTCGTCTTCGGTTAAGATGCTTTTAGGGTTCCTCGGACTTTAGACATTTTAGCTTTTTACTTCAAATCATTGCAGTGGAATTAATCTACTGCCGCAAAAAAAATTTAATAAAAAATAATCAAATGCCTTATTTTCTAAACAAGCATTTTTTTAAAGAGAGAAAAAAATATAGTTAAATATAGCTTATGTTCTTTTGGTCTTCCTAAACTTTAGTGAAATATTTCAATTTCTTGAAGTTCATGACCATTTTAAAATAAGCTGCTTTTGTTTTGCTGGTCAAAACTAGAATATCCTTAGAAAGTCTAAAACAAATAATTAATTAATTCATGAGTTATTTGTCTTTACAGTTTTTTTGTAATGTTATATTTGGAATAATCTAGAATATGAAGTACATTTCACTCTATTTAATCTTCTTTTTATTGCTGTGTTTGCTCTTTATAGTGCCGTCTCAAGGGTGCAGTGATTTCTCAACAGCACACTATAACCTTTGTTTTTAATCTCTGTGATGTGTTTATTTTACCAGCGTTGCACATTCCGTTTTCTTAAATATAATTCAACATTAAAAAGAAAAAAATTGGAATGGCATGTTTCCCTTTTCAAAATTATTTTTCTTTTTCACAAAGCCGATTGTGTGAAGGTTTCGATTAAATTTATTTTAATCATAAATCTCCGATCCATCAGTCGGTGGCAGCTCATAAAATTTCCTTTAAAAATATTTTGAGGAACAAACATTGCAAACTTGTATCTGGACTCTTTAAGTGTTTTTAACATAGTGCATTAACATTTTTAGTAGGTGAAAATATTTGAAGAAAATGATTTGATCACTTGTTTTTATGACTTCTTAATAGTTTTGCACTTTCGGGAATGAATGTCTGTTGAGTTATACCATAATCATGTTTTTTTCTTGATTCTGTGATTGCATGTTGGTTATTTTGTAACAGCCCATGTGCTACAAGCAGATTTTTCTAAATTTACAAAGATCCGTGAACGCGACACATACTTTTCCGGATTTCTTGTACGTCATCAGGCTTGTTTTTTATTTTTCAGCTGGTTGACATTTTGTGGGGCTTCACATTTTTTTCGAATGACAACGAAGTTGACGTTGCAAATAAATCCTCATGTTTTTGCTTTTGATTATATGCAGAATTGAATACCTGCACTTCAAGTGGAGTAACGTGCGGGAGCTTTTGTTTTGCTCCTTTAAGTGTGACGAATTAAAATTTCAAGTTCTGCAAACATGAGCTGCTTTTGTTTCATTAGTTGACTCTCTCTACGATCATCGACTTTTAAGACTGGCAGTGACTAGATAACGTCCACTAGTGACTAGTTAACGTCCAGTAAACGCACCTAAACCCATAAAACCGACCAGCCTCAGTGTCTCGCTTCAGGCTCAGCCAATCAGATAAATCGTTGTCAGTCGCTAGGCAGATTGCAGTGTCATAGGTTTGACAGAAGGCAAGTAGTAACGACGGTTCTGGAAACGTAAAACCGAAAAGTAAATACGATATTGCGGTAACCAACAAGGGCAAATGTATTTCTATTTATTTATTCATCCATTCATTTCCTTTTTAATACTCTTCAGCCGATTTACTGGAAGCTTCTGATGTTTAATATTTCTGTTGGATCTATGTCCTCTTTATTTATATTGAAGCAGATTAAAAAGTCAAAATATAGCTTTTATACAATATAATATTATCATGTATGTACATAAAAATGTCCTCCTCACTCTTAAAAAATAATGCTGTAATGGAAACAGGAAAATTGAAGAAGTTGCTGAATGGTTTCAAAATTCAATTCTTAAATGCAGAAAAAGCAGTTACAACAGGCTCTGAGGCATGGGCGGGCATTGGGGGGCTTAGGGAGGTATTGGGGGATTTTGGGAGGCATTGGGGGGTTTTGGGAGGCATTGCCCGCCCAAAGATTCAAACGTGACCCCCCTGGATTGGAAGCTGTTTGTTGTTTTTACCTTAAAGTGGCCAACTCTCTTTTATTCCTATATTGATTTGATACAGTAGGGCCTTCCGCACTTCCCATATCTGTGCCTTCTGTCTCTTTTTTTCAGCAGCTGAAACTGTTTAGTACCTTGTTAACACGCCGAAACCTAAGAATTATGGCAGCAAACCCACAAAACGCATAGAACTTTGCAAAGCATTAAACCCTTTTTTATTCTTAACCGGATCTCATTATTTCTCAAAGTAATGGCTCTGAGGAGTTTAATGGTTGGCCCCTCGAAATGGTAAATGTTTACTTTACAAAATTCTTCATGATATTGCTGTTCCAAGAAGTCTGGCGTGGTTTGTCACGCAGAGTTCCACTAAAATGATTAGAGTCACTAGGGCGCCATCAAGAGGTGAGTGCAGCGTCCTAAAGTTTAACATACTGCACTGGTCTTAAATTGGTTAATTCAAGCAGATATACTGTACACTCAATGATGGTGGTGAGTAAAACAGCAGCTTAATTGGTTTCAATGAGATGCGAATCATGATGTATTAGCTATGTATCGAATGCAACAATATGTATTTATTTTATTCTGATTTATCATCAATCACAAACTTTGTTAAATTGTACTTGTACCACAGTTTGCAATCATTTTTCCTTTCACCTGGTACCATCCAGCTTTCCTTTGAAAGGGTTGATGAACTGCTGTACAATGTCTCTGTGTAAAATAATAATAAAAAAAACATTAAAGGCTTGAGAAACAGGTGTAACTGATGGAAGTCACATATTTAATTTAGCAGTTTTTCATTTGTGCAATTTCATGAAGAGTTAATATAAATTTTAAGGCATGTAAATTATGTAATGTGAAAAGTTTATTTATTAAACAAAAATCTCCGTTATTGCCTCGTTTCTTATAATTATAGGCAGTGAAGCACAGAGCAGCTTCTCTCTCTGTAAAATGCATTCGATGCCACTGGTTGCTTTCTGTTGACAATAAAGTAAAGATAAAAAAAGTAATCTTGTTTAAGCCCACATTTCAGTTATGAAATCTCTCTTTCTGCTTTCTCTTGTCCTCCTCTGTTTTCCATTCCTCCTTATCTTTTCCAGTTGTCTCTTCCTTCCAAAGCGGAAACCAAATCCTCCTTTCTCTCGGCTGACGGCTTGAAGCCCTCCGGCCATGGATGTAAGAGCGTCGTTTCTTTTCCAGCCTTCTTCACCTTCTCCTCCCTCCTGATAGTTTATGGCCTCTAGAGAGATATCAGCAGCGAATGGGGAGAGTGGCAGATCCATAACATCCCCTCTCTGGTCTCTCAGCAGCTGCTCTTCTTCCCAGACACCCACTTCCTCAGGCTGTAGATGAATTTGAGGAGAGTCTTGAAGCCAGTCAGACCACATTTTAGGGAGCTTGGGGTCCTGCAGTGGAGCACTGAGGTCATACAGGTTGGACTCCAGCTCTTGACTGGGATAGAAAGCAGCAGAAGATGGGGGATTTGTGGAAACTGTGTGTGGGATTGGGCAGAGGAGGTTGAGGAAGAGGAGGATTACCTGTGAGGCACTGATATGGAAAGGCAGTTTCATCTGGACAGAAAGAGCAGCAATAAAAATGTTATAGGGAGTTTAAAATCCTTTATTAGATTCCATTTGCTTTAAAATTATTCAATTAGGATAAGATATGTAGGGCATTCATGAAATGAGAAAAATATATTTTAGATTGTAAAAAACTTAAAACAAAATTGGATTATTTTTATTCTTTGATTGATTTTGAGTTTGTTAAAAATAAAAGCCATGTAACCAATGTTAAAGGTTTTCAGGCCTCATTAATCAGTTTGTAGTTGTGACTATAAACAAAAGTATCATGTAAAACAATGCCTCTCTCTAAAAATGAAAATAAAATAAATGGAAGTTTTAGATAATTTTCTGATTTTCATGTAAATACATTGAATTTTCACAACAAAATGACACAAAGTATCCATAGCATATTTTTTTAAATAAAAGTTTTTGCCATTAGGTTGGAAACAGTTTTTCTGCCCATACAAGAAAATGTATTTAAAATCTCTTTGTAAAAGTTCTTTATTTTAAAACCTAAAAATAAAAATACAACTGTGCTTATTCAAAAATGGCATTCCTTGCACTTGATGTTTATCAAAAGTTATAAATTCTATTTTTTCTAAAGGTCAAGTAGCATTTGTTGTAGATACATTTTATTTTGCTGAACTGAGTAAAAATGACTAAAGATTGCAGTTGCTGGTCTAATTGGACATTAACTTATATTTAACACTTATAAAAAAAAAGCACTTTACATAAAGACTTTAAAGAGCACTGTGATTCTTTAAGAAATAGCTAAATATTTCTTATAGATATATAAGATATAAGCTGATAAAAGCGTGATTTAAATAGTTAATCAGACAGAGACTTAAGTTTTTACTGTTTCTTAAAAGAAACCAATTAGTTTGATCTTAATTTGAGGTTTGGTCATTTAAACTCTCATGCCTTCTGGCTCTACGTCTTAGTTTCTCTGGTCATACACATTTTCCATAAGGTATCACATTAATAGAAAAAACTAAAGTAATTTACAAAACATACAAGCAGCTCTCTTCATATTAAATATTTCTTACCTTGTTTCCTGTCAGGCACACCTTGTGTCTTCTGCAACATTTGTGCTTCGGACCTTTTTAAAACCGTCAACTTGTCTCCTCCATTCTGCCATCACACATTGGTTGCTCCGCCCTCTGACGCATTTTCACCAAATACCTTAAACTTCATTCTTATTAGCTCAGCAACATTTGCCTGGGTTTAGTACTGAGGCCAATTATGACTGCTTGTTTGGCGAGAGGTGAAGTGGATGCAAAAGATTAATTAACATGTTTCTGATTAGAGAGAGTCTCCGGGATTTCTTTTATGTATGTGCTTGTAATTAGCATTGTTTCGATAGGATAGCACAAACATACCTGAAAAATGTCATAGTAATCCCGTGGCAAATCCAAACCTCAAACCAAATGAGGCCTTTGCTTGAATGAAAATAACATCAATTATGTTCCAAAATATTTGTGGACCCATAAGCCTAATTTAACTGTGAATCAGGAGGTAGCTTCAAGACTGATTGTAAAAAAAAGGCCTTTTTTAAAATCTAAAACCACATTGTTACAGAGGAAATGTTTCCGCGGTACCAGGAAGTTGAGCTGTTAATTGAAATATACGAATCACAAACAGGGTTGGATGTAGCCAGGCTGCAAATAAAAGCACTGAGTTTTGTGCCAAACATATTTCAGAGTCATTATTCATGAAACAAAAACAAAACCAGAATGAAAATGTGGCTGAAAAGCTGCGTAGACCCAATGATTCAGGAGTGTTTTTATCATTGGCATATCATAACTTGAAGCAGCTGTTTCTATACAAATTTGTTCCTGCTCCATTTTTTTCAGCACAGTTTCATAGCTTGAATGGCCCAATCTCTCCCTACTCTTTAACTTCTGGCATATCATAGAGTTTCTGACTCTGGAATAAGATCACTGGCTCAATGATCATAGGGGTCATGCAAGTGACTCCAAAGCAAGACAAAATTTACCCCCCTTCTCCACCATGCTGATGAGCTTCACTATTTGAATCAACCGACTGAAATAAATTTAGTTTTATGATTGTTTTCAAAATGACTGAGTTGTTTGGAAAGAAAAAAAAATCTGTCAGGGATGTTAGAGTGCTTGTTGCTGGATTTCCTAATGAAATATTATTTCTGTATGAAGACATTTTACTGAATTTCTTCCATGTGGTGATTCAGTGAAGAGACCAAACTTTACTGAAGAAAATGTAATGAAACAGCAGTTTATTCACACAGTTAACTGAACTATACTAATATCTAGCAATCGCAAAGCAATCAAAACCGTTTTTGAGCTGAACCACTTATTAAATATCAACTCCACTTTGTCCACATTAAGTTGAGGCTGAAGTTATTTCTCTAGCTGTCATTTAGAACTGGGGGAAAAAAACTGTCACTGGAGAATCATCAGTTAACTGTAATTTGGTCCAAAAGTCTCAGCATCAATTTCTCTCTCTTCTCTTCCTTATTCCACCTCAAACTCCCGAAGGGGCTCGAGAGAAGGGATGCAGCCAAATGCACTCTGGGGATCGTAGTCCAGAAAAATGTTGGGGCTTTGCAACATCTGGCATGACTGATTGAGGTTTGAGCTTACAGAGGATTCAACGGCTGAACCAGTGAGCAAGGACAGCTGCAGCTGGTCGATGGTGCTGGCGGGGAAAGTCTGCGATTGGTCTAGTGAAGAGCAGGAAAGTGATGAGGGGGTGGTAGCCAGGGCAACAGCTCCAGGGGGAGCGGAAGGGGAGTTGGCCTGGGAGTCTTCAGAGTTGAGGGAACGTCTCAGCTTGGCCCGAGCGTTCTGAAACCACACCTGAGGGAATATTATGGAAGGAAGGAAAGCGTATGGAGTACGATAACAGAGACTGAAAACAGCTGCGAAACAGGTCAAGAAACGGATCATTGGGAGATCCAAACATTTATTGAATGTGAATTTTGAATCACGCTAAAAGAAGACCTTTCTTCTTTCATTCAGTTTTGGAAGATCATTCAAACTTTTATGGAGCCATTGACCTCTTTAAAAACTTGTCTTATCACCTGCCACAAACACAAACTCCAGATTTAACCATACTTTTCTCGTACTTTCAAAAAATTTGCTTCAAATTATTATTAAATGTCTGTGACCTTTACTGCACCAGGCATTATGGGAAATGCATTATTTTCATGTAATATTAGGTGGAGGACTGAGTGATGCATACCTGCAGGACTCTCTTAGGCAGACCAGTCTTATGAGCGAGGCAAGTCCAGTCTTTGCCGTCAGGGTTGTGCTTCTGGGCAAAGTATGACTCAAGTGCTCTGAGCTGCTCGCTGCGGAAACATGTCCTGATTCGCTTGGTCCGTCTGTGCGTCCGCCCACCCACCTCTCTGTCGTCCACTCGTGGCTCTGGACTGCTGACAGACTCTTCCCCTTCACCGGACACCTGGCTTTGACTCGTCTCTGACATCAGACAATGATCATGGTGATGATGTTAGCTAGATATCTTAAACATCCTTAAAATCAATGAGCTGAAAAAGCTGAAAGCCATGTTTTTGACTTGATATTTTCAGGTTCAGCTCAAATCAGATAAAAGCTCCACTCAACCCAGAGAAATCACTCATTTTATAAACCACTAAATCCAGTTAAATCTGATTTTGTTCTTCTCGCTTCACAATCGGCCAAGATATGTTGACATGGAAAGGAGAGTTAAAGTTGTTACACCTGAAATACTGTATGCAGTTATATGATAAAAATCAAACATATTACTTGTAAAGCAAATTCAATTTCCAAGTATAACCACCAGATGTCTAATTTCTAAAATATATATTTTTTGGAAAATTGTATTTATATATTTTATTTACTTGTTTTTTTAGGGACGGTATTACATTATGTGACAGGTTTAGATTGCTGTTAATGTGCCAGATTGAGACAATCATATAATTTACAGGCCATTTTATGTTGAGGATAAAGCTCAACAACTTTTGCATTTGTAAAGCCAGAGATTAAGCAGTAACTCAGAGCTCAGTCAGATGTTGGAAATAGGGGAAATTATGAAAATATATTTTGTGCATGTGCTCATGGCATTTGGACTGAGTTTCATGTCATGCCCCTTTGAGTCTATTATCCAGACATATTTTAGCCACATGATCCCACTGGACTGACTTATGTTGCAAAGCCTCAAAAGAAGAATTATTTTAGGTATTTTTCTTAAGTAATGGTTTCCTAAAGATGAATAGTTGATTAGTGACCTCACCAGTACCACACCAATGTGTACCTCATGATAGGCTAATAGTGCAATAATTGTTAATCCTGGAAAATATGCATGTATTATAAATTAGTGTTGAGATTTATCATTGTTTGTGTTTTAATTTTTAAAGTTTTAACCATAACCAAACAACAAAAAAATCACTCTCAACATCATGTTGCTTTGTTTACTGCCCCCTACTGGAGAAATTTCTAAAATTAGACATGAGACCTCATAAATTATTGCGAGTTGTTCACATGACACTCCTCCTTTCAGCTTGAAGCATAAAAGCTTAGTAATGTTTGCTGCCTTGGGCTCTAGTCAGAAGAAAACTAGATCAATTTTATTTGCCCTCCAGAGGCAAATAAGAGTGGAACTAGCTAATGTACAACTATAACACTGTACCTAAATGTCAACAAAACATTTCAAAGCGGTTTTAACATTCATCATCCCAAGTCATTTTTGAAAATACTCACAAACACACTGACCTTCTTTTAGATGTGATTGTGATGGGTCTTGCAGTGGCAGATTGCCTCCATCACCATTATAATGTGACTCACAATACAGGTTTGGGCCCTGCATGCAGTAGAGGTTCCCTGGCAATAATTTTACATCACATTCCTGCAAAATACAATTTTAAAAAGCATGCATTCATTTGTTAATTTGTTATTAAACTAGGAGAGAGTCGGTTAACTAACCTGGCAGGAAAAACAGTGGGGATGAAAGGTCATCTCACCAGACCTCATGACCAAATCAGTGGGTGGGATTGGCTGGAGGCAGCGAGCACATTGGCCGCCTCCAAAAGTTCTGATGAGAGAAGAAAACCAGATGTCAGAACCTGAAGTCACATGTCAACTCAATGATGTTAGGAAGTGAAGTGGTTCAGCATGCAGAATCACTTATACCTGCTGTAGTCCTGCTGGCAGTAAATGTTTCCATCTCTCCAGAAGAGGGAAGGGTGAGTTTGTAGCTCACAGTGGCACTGGCTGCAACGGAGGCAGATGCTGTGCCATACCCTCTCCGCAGCCAATAGGAAGAAGCGATCACATACCTGCTCGCCACATCCGGCACATATGATTGGCTCTGGAATGGACACACTTGATGGAACCTGAAAAATGTTTGGTATGATCAAAAATTAAAAATAAAGAAGGGAACTAAACATTAGGTTTATGGCACAGAGGGGTTCTGATCTCAAAGATTTAGATGTCAGCAGAAAAAATAAATTCCTTAAAAATAGTGTCAAATTGTAAAATATAATTTAATTTGTCATAGAGAATGCTATGCATATGTTTAAACAAAGTTACAAATTTCTTTTTTCAAATTAATACTGCTTCAGACATTGCTTTGTTTTGTTTTTTTAGCATCTGTCTAATTATATGTTAGATACCTACTGCTTGCTAAATACAATTTTTTTTAAAGAGGATTACTGCAAAAAAATTAGACTTTTTTCAGAAAACAATTTCTCCCGAGATTAAAATTAAGATTTTTTTTTCATTCTTATTTTATTTTTTGTGAATAACAAAATTTGAATAACGTTTGCAAAGGAAGTACCAAAGTTAAACTAAACAAGTAAGCATTTAGCTTTGATTAGCTTTCAGGATGACTTGCAGGTGTTTGCTAAAGTTAAAATTTTATGTTGTAGACACAAATATTTAAAGTATAAATTAGTAATTTAAAGAATGACATTGATCTTGTGATCTCTGCTTGTTAGCATGAAGCTCATGTTGCCTTTCAGAAGGTCAAGAAAAACATGCTTCTTTTCTAAAATATGTTAAGACACAATATTGCCTATTGTACCCAGAAGACGTAAAAAATATTTAAAGCATAAAATACAAGCAGGATGAATTAATGTTACTGATCTGCCAAGCTGTGCAGAAATTAACCTTAAGGTTCTTCTGCTGTCAACCATCTGAAGTCTGTTAAAGCTTCAGTGATTCAATGATTTAGGGTATAATAATTACATTTTCTGAAGCAGTTTCCGCCCCCGCTGCTGTTGGGCCACCGGCCAGCTGTACCACCTCCGGCTTGTCAGCGAGGTCGCTGCCATACAAAAGGTCCTCGAGGGCTTGGTCGTCTGGAGACATCATGATTAAGAATTCTGAGAAAGCAGGGGGTAATTAGCAGTCTTCTCTGTAAACACAGATCTATGTTTCTATTGATCAGCACACAGAAATTTTCGGCTGTTTTAAATGTTTACAATGTTATTTTTCAAAAATCTATTCTATGAGCAAAGAGAAAGGCAGCTGATTGTTTTTAGGTGAAGCAATTGTTTTTATGTGAACTAAACAGCATGTTATCAATAAACTGAAACAATACTTGAGGAACTTATATATAGATACAGCAGAGAACTTACCTTTGTCTATTGATTTGATTATTATTTGGTTCCCACTGTGTGTGCCCTCAGTACTAATCATGAAAAACGTTTCTCCAAGGAGAAACAAAAAGTATTAGATCCAGCTTTCCAGTTCCAAACTTCCCCTTTTATCTTGAAAACATCCCTGCTTTATAAAAATAAAAATAAAACTCATGTCTTTCCTTTCTACTGCAAACCACAGTGCTTCCCCTGTTGCAGGTGTCCTTGTAGCCTCTTGTTTTGTGGTTTTGGGATGAACCCACCTCACCTCAGGTCTGCCTCTTCACCTTAGCATTGTCCAACCACTTTCCCAGCATCCGATCTGTCGGCAGTCCCAGGTGACAAGCACCTGTAAACAAGAAGCCCAGCTGGCTCAGAGAGCAACAAGGAAGCACTGTGATTGGTTGCCTGGTGAGCAGGTCAAAGGGTGGGGTAGAGGGCTTTACACAGGGGGCCAATTAAAAAAACAAAAAGGTGTTTAAGAGGACATCTGGGAAATGTGCTGAAAGATTAAGAGACTTTTGCATTAGTCTTTGACATCCAACTCATTGTGTCAAAAGTGAGAGGATGACCAATAAAAAAAATAATACAATGCACATGTGTGACTTCCCCAAGAATACAGCAAAAAGAAAAACAACACGTCTTTTGTGCATCCAAATTCTTTCTTGCATGACTGGCAAGTCACCAATAGACTGACTTCATGAAAGATAAGGAATGTCCCAGGCTGAATGCAGAACGAAATCTAACAGAAAACCTGCAGCATCTCCCAAAAAGGGATGTGGACAAGAGATTTACTCACAGACCGATAGGGTTAGAGAATTTTTCTGATGTATAGTGGACAAATATTATCAAGGTGAAAGCTAAGACACTGATTGACTCAAAGGTGAGATCCTGAAATTGCTGGCGATCCATTAGTTTATGGGTGTAAATATCTATAAAATGAGGTTATTGCAGTTTTCTCTTTTTTTCCCCAATTTCTCCGTTTGTCCACGTTCCAGGATTCTGCTGTTCTGTTCTGTGGGATGTCTTGGGACAGATTTTAACCTAAAAGTTCTGGTTCATGATACAATACTCTGCAACAACATTTTCAGAAGCCGATCAACAACATCAGAGATCTTCCAACATACCCAACAGGTACGACATATTAATTCTTCATTTTGTGTTGGACTCACCCGAAGTGTTTGTTATATGAAAGTTACGTTTTAGGCTCATCTAATTCAAGTGGCACAATATGTGAAAGCACTTTCAGTATTTTGTGCAAAACACCAACCAATAAATAAATATTTATATAAAAAAAAACTTAACATATTTTAGGTCCAAATGTCACAAGTTTTAAACTCAAATCATTTTATTGTTGTATTTTCTTACAAGGCACCACAGGTAGACAAAACATAAAACACTGTTTACAAAAAGACAAAGTAAAACAGAAAAGACAAACACAGTGAGGACAGTGATGCACCTGTCATGGCAGCTGTACCACAGCAGGTGTTTTCTCTTATCTGTAAACACCGAAAAGCCAAGCTGAGGTGGAAAACTGAACAGTAGGGGGCACTGCTGAGCTTTAAAGCAGGGATGATCAGAGTCACAGAGGGAATCAAAGAGGTACAATCAGATCTTGTTTCTGGCTTGTTATCCAATTTATAAAAGGAAAAAAGAATTTGAGATTGGCATTCAACAATAAAAGATGCATACATTTGTATTTTCAATACCATAAGAAGCACATTCTAAATGTTCAAAGCAAAAAAAAAAAAAAAAAATCCCAGCATGCACAGTCATACTGAACTCTGAGCAACCAGTAAGTTTATTTACAGAAGAAAGAGAGGGAGCCAAAGAACATAAACTAGCTTGAAATGCTGGAAACAGAACAGTATATGAACAGAACTGTCAACACAGAACTGCAACCATTTGAAATACCACACAATACTTCCTCTCATTACCAGCTTTCCACTTCATAGTTCTACATCAATCATCCTAATGAGTTCAGTAATGCTCCTGATTCCAGCTTAGTTTATTAGTAATGTGTTACATTCCTATTTTACTTTAAGGTCTTCAATCCTGCAGCAGCATGCAAACTATTCAGTTTGGTCTAAGTGGATTTTTTTTGTTGGAGTTCCCTGTGACCTTTCCATTTGTTTTACTCACTTTTTGCTGCATCAGTTTTACAAATTTATCAGAATTTCTGTGCAGCCTCTTTGATACACTTCCAGTCCATGACATAATTACTTTTTTTTAAATAAAGCTTATAATACTCAATTAGCTCTATTATATACACTGGGAAAAGTACAAAAAGCTCAAAATCGTAAAGGATCTGCCAAGTTATGCATGAGAAACCCTTTTCAAAAACATTTTGACCAATAACAATCTTGTGATATTGAAGTAGAATCCACTTAACTTGGGAGTGTTTTTCTTTTTTAAATTGAATTGTGAAAAAGTTTTTAATGCCGCTCAAGAAATTTCTTTATTTTGACAATGAAGAGAGCATTCTATTTTAAAAATTGCTGAGAGATACTGCATACTGCATTGTTTGTATAGATGATGAAGTACTTAAACTTCAGAAAGTCAGATTCATCTGGTTTTTTTGTGTGACTATAAGGATTTAATGAGAAGCATCTTTATATTTTTAAGCATATAAGCACCTTTTCTAATATCAGTTTCTATCATCAATTAAAATATTTTTTACATCCTTTTATGTAGTGAAATTCATTTGATGTTCTGTTTCTTTTTGTTTTTTCTTTTTTGATTAAGATGAAAAGTTTAAAAACTTCACAGCCAAGACATTTGTATTTTTAAGGGTTTGGAAATATTTTACCTGGGTTAGCTTTAGATCGTACCAATAAAAAACACAAAATTTGGGTTTTGCATTTCTAAAACTTTTAGCATTTTGAGGTCACAAATGGCTGCTTAATAAGATACCAGCTAATCATTTTAATCAACTGTTTCTGAAAAAGATAAAAACTTCACAATATACAGTTACACACTGATAACTTGCTTTGTACACATGAAAAACATCTCTATTTCCAAAAGAGAGCAAGGCATTTGGTAAAATATGTGTGTACATATGATGACACCATTTCTTTATCAGTTCACCATCCTGTTTCTCACTTTGTTCTGCTGGCTGGAGGTCTGAAGGATGCTGGTCTCATCTTCATTTCCGTAAACTGGATGGAATGGTGTTCTCCTTTCCATGACTTCCAGATGACACCCTGGGACACAAACGGAGAAATAATCACATGCCACCTTGCAATTCTAAATATCGTATGGATCATACCTTCCCTATATAACTGTTTACATTTCATATTGCATGCAAAGTTGTTCAAAAAATTATTTATCTTATATGTAAAAAAAAAAAAGGAATATCTTGTCTATCGCTATAGCTGTGCAAATAAGTATCTACAATGTGACAGATGCAAAAGTATAGTATGCTCATCTCACATCCAGTGCTCTCTTTTAGCATGTAGTATCGTACATTTGTTCATATATGTAGTTGAATTAACAGAAAATCTGGTTTTGATTTGAACCTGTGACTTCACATTTGATGCGACATCCTATAAATATTGCAGTCCCGCTTACAAAGTTTGCAATATTCTGCTTACTGTACAATTTGTCTGATGTTGCTACCTGATGTTTGTAGTCAATTCCATAACGACCATTCAGATTTGCTTGATGGCAGTTTTTGTACCACCAGCCGCCTTGATAAGAAATGGCACAGCGGGTGATCCACGGTGCCGGATCCCGGTCTTTGGTGGAGAAAACGCAGTTGTTGTGGTAACTAAGGGAGTCACCTGAAACCAGGGAACAAATTGAATAGGTTTCCTTTCATGCAGATCAAACAGTCAGGTTTTGGGAGCCAGTCTGACCAGGAAAGCTTTTGAATTTCCATCTCACCTGCAGTGCCGCTGTATCCACTCACACTCAGTTTGTAGTTCCTGTTGGACACCTGAAATGTCGAGTACTTGGCGAACACCTGCTCACTTCCATCTCGTAGGTCGACCCGTAGATTCATCTTCGTCATCTTAGTCAAGTTGTGAATTTTTTCAAGGCCTAAAAGAATAAAATTAGGCTTGCTTGAAACATTCAAGATTTTTTAAAAAAATGCATTTAATTTGTCGAAAATAAAAATTATATTTATATCACAATGCAGTGCCTGTAAAGAGTGACACAGAGAATAGTTGAACATTTCTGAATATAGATGTAATTAAGAGAAACCAGGTAAAATATGGAGACATCAAACTTTTTCCCTTGAATATCAATACATAAATTTGAAGAGCATGAAGACTAAAATATTAAAGATGTTTAAATCTAACTGCAGCTGAATATTTATGGTTGAATCACAGCAATAAAGTCATAGGCAGATATCACTACTCACCATCATGATACAAATTATAAGTCCTTTAATTGATTCAGTAACTAGCAAAATTGGAATTGAAAAAAGTTGTTTTTTGCATCAAGTATCAGTACTTGATAAAAATGTGATTAATCAAAGCTCCTACTTAATAGATTTTTGATTGTGTCCTACCACAAATATTTAAAAAATTATGTCTTCAGCTTGAGTTCAAGAAAAACTAGACACTTTTTAGGATAGTCTGTAAGCTGCAACACATTCTGACTAAACATTTCATCACTGTGAAGAGTTTCTCTCACCAAGCCAGAACTCTCCACTCAGGTTTCCAAAGCCAGAAACGTAATCCTTCCAACCATTGTAGAACTCCACCGAGCCGTCCTTCCTCCTCTGGAAGACCTGGACATGGATCGGAAACATAAAGAAGGGGAAACTAAATATAACAGAATGTGAGGACATCTTCCTGATTCCTGAAGTTTACAGCTCTGACTCTACCGTCCAACCGCCACCGTCCGTCTCCATGTCACAGGAAACGTGCATCGACTTGCCAGATTTCCCCTCAGGGAAGATCTCCACCACATTTGAAGAGACAACACCGTTCAACAGTTCCTGAGAGCAGTCAGTTGGGAATGGGAACTTCAGTGTGCCTTAAGAGAAAGATGTTTTTGATGAGACAAACTTTTCATCAGTTAATAAACAGGACTCTGAAAATAACCAGAGGTACCAGTAGTGAATTCAGTGTTGCTGCTGGCTGCCAGTTGTCCTCCCCTTATAGAGCGTAGTTCCACAATGTACAGAGACCCTGGATGCAGTCTGGTCAGCTTGTACTGTGTTAGGTCTGAACTTACAATAACTTCCTGTCAGAATGCAAAACGTCAAGAGTTATCAGCAAAAGGATGAACATGCCCGTTATAAAGCAGAAAACTGGGAAAAGGTCATATTTTTAAAGCTACAAACTCAAACTCCTGGCAAAGTTTGACATTTTATACAAAACTGTCATAGAAGGGAGTGCCATATAACAATGCAGTAAATCTCAGTTTACAGAAACTAAAATATAAAACACAAAAAGGCACTTGCATACTGACAGTTTTCCTACCTGTGGGCTTTCGCCTTCGATCCTATAAACCAGTATGTATTTATCCACAGGCTTTGACAAAGGTATCCATGACACAACAGCACTCCGAGGGGTCACATTTTTGGCCTTTAGATCTTGAGGTTCATTTTGATCTCGCCCTGAGCCTGCAGAGCCTGAATAAGTTTCATTTCATGATTGATTATTGACTTCTAAATGAAGTATTTTATAATTAAGAAAATAGCATACAAGCTCTGGCTCGGAAACATGTTTTGTGCATGTGTCTGCATGGTGTGACTGGTTGCTGACCGCTATTGGTGGTAAAGCTGGTTGTAGCTGGTGAACTCTCCAGGTTTCCCAGCTGACTTCTTACAGTGACGGTGTAGGTGGTGGATCCTTCAAGACTGCTCAGCTGCTGCTCAGCTGCATTTCCTGAAATTGTAACAGTCACTTCCGATCCTGGGGAAAAAAGCACAACCATGTCAGTTTAAAGCATGCATTTTGGGCCCGTACAACCTATAAATATTTTTAAAAAACAATGAATAAATACATCATGTTTCTCATTAAAGCCCTTTTGGTAAAGAAAGCCATTTGCAACCATGCCTATCTCACCAAAACAAAATGTTTGTGTCACCGATGGATGTCAACATGAAATCTGCATTCCCATTCTCTGATGAACTGCAGTTGTTTTTTAGATCTTTAAGCCTGCTTTTAAGTGCTTTTAATGTTTAAGTTACTAATCAGGCTCGGGTGTGACTAATGAATTTGAACTCAGCTTTCCAGAACATATGACCAACAACTTTCAACTCATGACTTTGTAATGAGGTCAAAAGCATAAAATCATGATTTGAAAAGCAGATGAAATTATGATCAAAGCTTTTAAAACAAAAAATGAATGCAAGAGAATTTGAAACTCTAGTTGCAGTTGCCAAATAAGGAAGAAAACATGAAAATGTTTCAGCCTGACACCATCAGGACTTACCTGTACCTGAGCCATACACAATGGTGTACTTATCAACAGAGCCAAGAACTGGACGCCACAACAATAATGCTGTGGAGTCAGTCACATTGACAGCTTGTAGGTCAGTGGGTGGGTCAGGCACTAAGAGTGACAAAAGTGGAGATAATGACAGAATTATAAACAAGAAAATGCAGTATTTCCTAACTATACAAAATTCCACATTGAGAACAGAGTCTGGATTTAATCAATCCCACAAGCTGTTAGAAAGCATTTAACTAGCCGAGAAGACGATTGAAATAGATCCAGAATGACACTCATGAGAGTACAGACTTGTGCAGACAATTTCACACGGTCCATTTATTGTCAAAAATGTTAAACTGGAATACATGATGGGACGGCATTAATGAAATCACCATGTTCCACAGATTATCATTTCAATGTTCTTATATATTTGAAATGAATTATTACCATCATCTTTTTGTAAAACTCTCAGGACTCACGTGTCATGACAGTATCTTTAATTGGATCGCTCTCATCCAGTCCGAGGGTGGAGATGACGGTGACTTCATAAGAGGATCCTGGAGACAGTTGAGCTAGATTGAGGGTGGAGTCCTGGGAGCCAACCGTCACTGACACAGGCTCTCCTACGAGAGACAAAATAAGGATTAGCAATTAGTTTTGTTTTTGTTTTTTTTTCAGGTAAGAAATGAGGAAAACTCATTCAAAATTGTTTTAAGTCATTTTTGTCTTACCCTCATCTGCGTGGGTGTAGGTGACTTTGAAACCATCAACAGAACTTTTTGGTTTTGTCCATGACACTGTCACTGAGTTTTCAGTCACCTTGCTGAACATTATGTTGGATGGAGGCTCTGGTCCTGGAGGACAAAACCCGCCAAGAGTAAAGGTACATTAAAGCAAGAAAGTTGGGACAAACAGTAGAATATATGACGCAGTAAGACAAATTGAGAAACACATATAAGATCATTTAAAGACATCAATAAAGGAATGTAAAGAAAAAGAAAATTTAAAGAAAAAGGTAAAAATGAATAAATGGATTATGCGCAAAAGACCAAAACTCTTGTCTCAATCATATTTATCCATTCACACATTTTCTTTTGGTACTCCAGTAAGTTTGAGTGTATATATGTACAGCGCAAACATATATACAGTATACATTTTATACAGAGACAGACAGTAACAAATTCAGGCAGATCATGGCTCCTGGGCAGCAGAAAATGAGAGAATGACAACTTTATGAGTCTTTACAAACACAGTAATTAATTAGCAGGTCAGTCAATTCCTGAAAACAGAAGCACTGCAGGAATGAATGATAAAGACACACAGGGAAGAAGAAATTATTTTTATGTTATTAAAAAGGGAACAAAAACATATATTTACATATTAGATGAATACAATAACAAGCTTGAAATGAAGGATGGTGTAAAAAGTGTTAAAGGTAATTTTGGGCCATTGCATATTTCTATTTTATTTAGCAGAACTGGATTTTTTTTTTAAACTTACTGAGGCCATATTTAAAATATTATAAAGCACTATTCTACCAAGTAAAATCATGAATTTATGACAAACATAACCTGAACCCAAACAGTTTTTACCTTTTGACACCCAAAATAATTTAACCTCAGAGTAACTTAACTCTGGTTGTCTTACATTTAAATATAAATGTTAAAGATATAGACCAAATGTACAATGACCAGCTGTGGTCTTACCCTGGTTTGGGTGAGAGATGAAGGGGTGTCAGTGAAGCTGCCTGTTAGTTTACCCTAAATGAGAGAAGGCCAGAGCAGCAGTGAATAAATGGAGATATGGGGTGACTGTTTTTGATGTCTACTCAGCTGATGATTGCATAAAATCAGTCATGTTAAAAAATGAGTCAGTCAGGACAGAAACTACCAAGACTTGGATATCTAGGCAGAAATACAGAATCCATACAGGTGTTCCTCAAAACTTAGTACTAGATCCTTGGAAAGTTTAGATTTGCACTTTTATTAAACTATTATGAAAACTTGATCAAAATAGATATATTTTGTTTTCAAAGCAAAATAAAATGTTTGCTGCAAGATATGTGGTGTCAGTTAAAAAAACATATTTGATCTATATGTTATCAATAGTTTCAAAGATAATCAATATTTAATACTGATACTCAAAGTGAATATTTGACAATTTGTAGTTTCAGAAAAAAAAAGTCAATCTTGCAATTTCTGGAGTGTTAAATGACAATTTATAGCAATAACTTCTGAAGGTTGACATCAAATAACTCAGATTTTATTGTAAGATTGGTGGCGATTATGGTGTAGTCATTCATGAATATGCATATCTCTCATATTCATGGAAGCTGGAAAATTAGAGTACAACAGCAACATTTACGCAAATCATTAAACAGACTATTTAACACCAGTGTGTTCAAACATAATAGGAACAAAAAAAACTGGTTATATAAGAGTGAACATGTGTTCACATGACGGACACAGGACGGCGAACCAGACACAGTTTACAAGAGTACAACACACTTATGAAACAGAAATGTAGGGAGCATTTGATCGCAAGCAGATATATCCAGTGGTGGTCAAGCAAAGTGACAATTGACGTGATACACTGTGAAGACATGACACAAATAACATTTAATAGGTTGAAATTCATGGAAGGTTGTAGATTGTAAGAACAAGAGTGACTCTTTGGATCAAGACTTGACAATAATAACAGTGATGTGGTTCTTCTACCTGTCACCATTGGTAGTACCTGTACTGATGACAAGCTTGTGCAGTCTGGACAGAATGCCGGGGCCTTTTCCAAGCAAGGTTATGGTGTACTCCGTCTGAGGAGGTAGATGTTCAAACTGGTGGGAGCTAGCAGAACCAGGCAGCACTTGACTGAAGGTTTTCTCCCTCTCTATTGGTCTGTCCATTGCACCTTTTTGGGTTATTGGGACTTGAAGATCTTTAGGTATTTTGTTATTGTCCTCGTCACCTCCATTTTCTGATGAGAATTCTTTGGTGTCTCGATCTTTATCTTCTTCTTGTTTATTTTCCTTCTGTTTTTGGCTTTCATCGTTATCAACCTCTGTTCTACTTATAACAAAGTTTTTGTACTTCCCTTCAGGCGAATCCCACATGACTGTGAAGCCATCAGAAGTCTGGTTTGTCACATCCACAAAGTTCAGGGGTTCTCTTTCGTACCCAGAAGAAGAAACCTCAGAAGCGAGACCTTTTGTCCCTTCAGTTTCAGTGTCAAAAACAGTGTTTACATTGGGATTTGTTTTTTGAAACTCTTTCTTTTGTATTCCATCAATACCTTGGGAACCATGATGCTCACCTGTGACAGTTTTGGATGTGGGTTGTCTCTTTGGGGGTGTAACTACTCTTGAGGGCTTAAAATCAGGTTTGACATATATACTACTTTGATTTGTGGAACCAGTGTCCCTGTCAGTATCATGTCTCTCTTTGATGTCAGGATCTATAGGTGCTTCCAGTTTGATCAGGACATCATCTCCATTATGTGACTCCTCTGTTTGTTTTTCAGCACTAGTTTTCTGTTCATGCATAAGGACATTTTGTCTAAATATGCCATTTACTTGTTCACGTGGTTGATTACTTTGGAGGCCATGGGTAAGCCTCTGTGTATTTAGGTTTTCTGATTGTGATTCAGGATTCTCACTGGTACTGTCTTTTCCCTGTTCATTAGTTTTGACTCCAGAAATAAGAGCGCCTCCATTTTGCTTTTTCCCGAAGAAAGGTCTGCGTATTGGGCCTCGGATAGGATTTTGGCGACGTCCAAAGTTCATGAATGTTTTATTTTGCACAGATTCGCCACGTTGGTGTGGGTAACGAAAATTTGGTTGAAGGGAGGAAGGTGCAACCCTTTCCCTTGGGGTGTGAGGGAACTCTTTTGAGATGCTGGTTTTGGGGAAACTTATCCCAACTCCTTCTTTTCCTTCAGTTATAGGCAAAGGATCAGATGGTACAGATTCTCTAGAATGAGATGTGGAATTTTTTAACAATTCAGTGGGAAACATCTGTTGTTTCAAGGTATCTGCGTCAGGATTTATAGATTGGGAGAGTTGAGTCGAAATCTTTGGCATTGATCGGGTTCTGTTCTGAAGATTTGAAAGCATCCGACGTGGGAATACACCCTTCAGAGGGAGGCGACGGACAGGGAAATGTCTACGTTCTGTCAGCATCCTTTTTTGGCTTTCTCCCACCCCAGAGGTTACATTTCTGGATATTTCATCTCGCTCTCTGTTTCCGTCTTTCACAGGACGATTTCTTTCCAATGAGGGAGTTTTTCTTGAAGCAGACAAAGATGGTGAAGATGATATATTGTTTGTTTCTTTTATTAATGTGTGCCTCAAATGAGGAGAATGGATGGGAACTTTCATGTTTTGATGGCTTTTGTTTCGAAGCAAGTCAAAGTTGGGGTAAAGTCGTCGTACAGACCCTTGTTTTGGATCGCCGTGGTGGAAAGGGAAACTTTCACTTTCTTCTGAACTTGTTAGTTCACTATCCTCAGTAGATGTTGAGTCGGAAGTAGAATCCAATTTATTGCTTCCATTTAAACCTAAAGCATCCATAGTGGTTGAGAGGGGTGATGGTGAGGGGAGTGACACAGATGATTTTTTTGAGGAAGGTGACAGTAATGACTGGTGTGATGATGACGTTAAATCTGTTGGTGAGGAAAGTGGTTTTGCATCAGGTGATGATGTCTTGGTAGGTGATAAGTAGGATGATTTTGCAGTTAATGATGAAGTTGTTAAGAGTGAAGGAAACCCCTTTAAAATCTGTTTCCTTACCATTTCTGCATCAGCTGAAAGGTTTAGAGGTCTTGCCAGGTGAACTGAAATTGTTGTGATATTAAGGTCATCAAAAGTTTCAGTTATTAGTTTGTGTAAGGGGTCTTGTGGCAAATTAAGGCCTTTCTCTTGATTAGAAGGCATTTCCTCTTTACTAGAACTTAAAATATTTTCTCTCAAAACTGTCCCATCCTCTTCACAACCATTGCCTCTGTTCTTTAAAGGCAATCTGAAGTGAGTTACCTTAATTTTATTCAGACATTTCTTCTCCTGGCTTCGGATGTTCCCAGTTGGCTTGGAAGACAATGAATTAGTATCATTTTCAGCCATAGCCAGGTCAGCATCTGGTTGTTCTTTTGAGCCAATGTAGAGCAGTTCCTTTGAGCTACTTTCCCTATTTGGTTCAGACGGGGGCGATGAAGGTTCAAAGTCATTCCCAGGAATTACAGCTGGAGTTTGGGTACCACTCCTCTCAGAACGTAATGTCTCTTCACTCTGGTCTGCCACAGACTCCCGGATGATCTGAACATCTGCTTTAGTTTCATCAATTTCTTTTGATTCACCTTTTTTCAACACCACTGGGTTTTTGAGTTTAGAATCAGGTAAAAAACGTCTTCCTCCAGGCAAAACTCTGGTTGCATTGGGACGGAGCAGCCCAGGCCTTGTCACCATAGGTCTTCTGGTTTTGGGTCTGGTGTCATTTCTTGCTACCACTTTGCTCACCAGAGGTCTAGTTCTGGCACTCACAAAAGATGAGGAGTCTCTGCTTTTGCTGCCAAGGTCTTGTCCTGGTGCTTGAGTAACCTGCATGGTCAAGTCCTCAATGGTAGCCCTTGGGAAAGTGGTGCCTAAAGATGTGAGAGCAGTGATCATTTGTATTAAGTGTTAAGGTCATCATATGTTGCAGTAATCCAGAAGATGTCATATCTAATAAAGGAAGAAAAGCATGTTTTAGTAGAAATTATAAAATTTTAAAGACATATTTAAGAAATATGCAAGATGTTTGCCAGCTTTACACAAACAAGAAATGAGGGCATGTTGATGAAGAACCTGCAAAGAGAAAATTAACACATAAACAATGTTTTCCCTGGACAGACTTGGCATTTGTTCCTCTGGAGAGAAGAAAATATCCACACTGAGCTCAGGAACAGATTGAGAGGTTAAAGCATTGCTCTATTAACTTTTACAGACTTTCCTGTAATGTGTTTTATATGCTGTTATGCTTGGAATGATGAGGTGTTTGAACACATATAGGTTCACTTCTCACAGCTGTCTTCACTTGCCTTGGGAAACAAATATTTTACTTGGATATTTGAAGTTATATCCAAGTACTACATTGACTAAGGAGAAAATTTTGACCAGATGTCTTTTGCAGTCTTCAACCCAGTAAGTTTCTTTACTCACCGGGAACTACCTGGGTAGTTGCTGGCTGGCTACGGACCACTCCCTTCTCCGCCACCAATAAGATGTCGTACAAACGCCCTGCCTCCAGCTGCTGAATATGGGCAGAGTTTTGGCCAGCTTCTATGGTCATTTCCTGAGACCTCCCTGCTCCGTCTTTGGGTGTGATGGTCAAACGGTACCTGTCAATGTCTGCCTGCGACTCCTCCCATTGGACTACTGCTGAAGTAGAGGTGGTCTTTACGACTTGGAGGTTCGTTGGACCAGAGATAACTGAAGATGTTGAAGGAAAAGATAAAGACACAAGTTATAGTTTCTAACTTGTCAAAATATTGCTTCATGACTAACCGCCATGTTGTACAGCACAATGCACTTAGAGTTTTATAATTTAACCTTTTAATACATTTCTAAACTTCTGCAGCTTCACTCCCTCTTCAGAGTTAGGGAAACAGGATGGAATTGCTCAAGCCTTTTCTCTAAATTTTGCAATTACAGCTGATCACAAGAGCCAGTAAGTTAGTAAGAAGTCGCTGTCTCAGCTTGTATGCTCAAAACTCCATGTTTTGCAGATGGGACATTTGCAAAACATAGGACATTTTGCATTTGCAAAAATTACAGTAAAATGTATTTTTAGTGAGTGGAACTATAAAACAAATGTTGACATCAACTTGAAACATGTCCAAAATATAGTTTTAAAGAACTAAGAAAAAGTTTAAAGTTGGGGGTCATGAAGTGGTTGACATCCTTAATAAATTGCAAATAAACAGCAGGAATCTTACGGGTCACAAATTCAGCTGTGCTCTCAACTCCCCTTCTGCCATTAATCTCTCCAACAATGACGGCTATGTACTCCTGTCCAGCTGCCAGGCCCGTTTGAGTGAAGGTGTTCAGGCCTCCATCCACCTGTACAGTGATCTGCTGATCCTTTTCTTTCTGTACGATCAAGACAAAGAGAGAATGAAGTAAAAACCACAGATATCCCCTAATTTGAATCTACCTCTTAGAAGTTTAATGACCTTAAATTATTGATGTACTTTGCAGTTATTATTATTAATGAGGTGCTGATCAAGAAGTCAGATAATACACACTTTGTTGAAAGGCTATCTAGGGCTATGCAGGTAATAATGTTCATATTTTGGGGGGTTTGTTACAGCCACTTTTTTGTTTTGATTGTTTGGAAAGAAAACCTTATGACGAGTTGGATAGGGCTTTGCAATGACAATAAATTTAATTTAATCTAATTGAGATGACACCACAATGTTTAAAACAAATCGGAATATGGATGTATTTGCAGGGTCTGGGTAAAGTCTTCTTGTGCACATGAGGACAGCAGATCACTCCCCATTAAACATGACTGAACATGAGAGTTTTCTGGAAATCCATAAGAGATCCATGAAGATTAAGCAGAAAACCTCCTCCGGGAGACCATGGTGTTTTATTATTATGCAAACAGCATATCTAGAAGCTTCATAAGCAGTGGCAGCTTATCCATGATGTCTGATATGTTGAGCTTAAAACATCCATGACTCATACGTTTCCTCTTGACTTGAAGTTGTCATTATACGGTTTCAGACATTTCTTTCAAAAATCTTTAAGCAGTGATATGAAAAAATGATCATCTGTTCTTGCATCTCAAAACCTTAACACTTTCCATGAATCCGAAGCTGCAGTGTTAAATAGTTGCTCAGCTGAGTGCAAATGGCTTTCTAACGAATGGATACAGAGCTGTACTCTAAATGGACACCATCTGGTTGTTAGGTTGGCCACTATGCTGGTTGCCCAGATCAGTGTCCTCGTGTCAAAGCAATTCCATTAATTTCCATAATAATGAGGGTGACATCATTTAAATTGAGGCTTCTAATAAAATCAAGACATGCATTAAAACAGAATCAGCCCTGTGGTGTTAAAGTGTTGGCTCAGCCACAGAGAAACTCCATATTAATACTGGAAAATCAAGCTGACGGCCTGAAGTCAAGCTTTTTTTTGTTTGAATCCATTTGCATTAGTGCGATTCATGCTACGTTGTCAGATATAGTTTGCTTAGTGGTAGAAATATACATATATTAATTTAATTAACTTACTGATGATGCTTAAATGTTCTTCTGCTCACACTGAAAGCAGTTTTTCCACTTTTTGTATCATTTTAGGGTCTTTGAAGATAAAAGACATTCCTATAAAATGTTCCACTGGTGACCACCAATGGAAACTGGCACTGAGTTAACTACAGTTAAATAAAACTGAATGACCTGCTTCTACTGCAAGATCCATTTGACTACATTTAGATTTTTGTGATTCATCGACATGAAACTTTATCCTGTAATTTGATTCAAATTAACTTTATTTTATTCAGAAAACCAAATTTTAACGATTCCTTTCATTTGGCATTACATTGTTCCCCTGAGGAAGCTGATTACTGTTCATCACATGAATACATATATACATAGATTTTTTTTTTGATTACTTGAAAGGATTGGAAGTTATTATTCACTGGTCATTCCTTAAGTCTATGCCAAATTAATGGCAAAATATATGCATTTCACCCTAAACGAGCAGCAGTTTCTGAATCATTCTGCAATGCCTTACTATTGAACTAGAACTGTCTATGGGTTTGCAACAAAAAACACATTGTTACAGTAAAGAGAAAACTAGTAAAATTTAAAAACAGCCAACAGTTCCAGCTGATGCAAATTAAAGGCTCAGAAGGCCTATCTAAAAAAACTCCCTCGGAGAAGATTTTGAAGGGGGAATGTGGTGGTTACACCCAAAATCAAGATGAGATCAGCCATGGAAGATGAGACATTTCTTCTTTTTTAATGGCCGGCTGTAGCACTACATCGAGGAACAACTTCAAAATATCTTCCAGGAAGCAATGATAGTTTAAGAATTTTTTAGATTTTCAAAAAATATGTGAATAAAACACTACATTAAATATACTAAATATAATGCCGCACTGTTGTCTGTGTAGAAATGTTTTTCTTCATTCGTATTGGAAACTTTTAAAGAATATTTATTTCTTGACCATGAAACATATTGATTTCCAGTCCAGCTTTAACTTTTGAGTGGATTTTCTCACAATATTTATTCCAGAAATGATAATAAAATATAATCCTCTCATTACATTGGATAGAATATTAAAGGTTTGATTAATTTTAAGGTCAAGACACTGCAACAACACTGCCTTACTTTGTAACCAACATAGTGAAGTGTCTGTTTTTAGTGAAAAACTGAGCAGATGTTGACAAATGAAAAAGATAAATGTCTCTGTATCTGTGTGAGACTTTAGCATTTTTGTGATGCATAGAAGATTTTAAACTGATTAGTGTCTTCAGTAGTGTTATGCATGCATTTGGAAAGAGGTCAGCTATAATTCCATGTAATTACATAAATCACAGCGCAAGTATGTAACTGCAGTCGGAAAAACAGGAGGTGTTTATGAAATCCAAAAAGGAAAAAGAGCCACCTCTTAATCTCTGGCTGTTTTTCCACCTGTTGTGTCTGTGGTTGGTGTGAAATTAGGTGTAAACTACTTGCATCAGTTGCTCTTGGCTTGTAAATTCATGGACATAGTGCAATCTATCACATAAATATATGCAGGTGTGAAGCAGCCACTGCAAGTGAAACATGTGCAGTGCATTTGCAGAAAATGGAGAACAGTACATTGCTCTTTTGAGTTCACCAAATTATTTACTCAGAGAAACAAAAGCCGTCAGAGCCTAAGAAAGTCTACATTAATGTTTCTATAATAGTCCCCTCCCCAGGAAAACCTTTGAATAAGCAAAACAAAACAAAAAAAAAGCTGTGGAGTGCTGTGGTGACACAGCGGTAAAGATCAAACATGAGTGGAGGTCGGAGTCCTCGCTATGGCCGCCACAGGTTTGAGTTCTGGCCTAATGACCTTTCTGATGACCTGTCTGACCACTCTCAAATAAAATTATCTGTCTGACCACTCTCAAATAAAAGTCTCTAAAGCCAATAAAACCTTAAAAATAAAACAAAAACTATACTGTGACGTCAGCTTGTTGCTGTTTGCAATAAGGTCTGGTAGGTCAAATAAAACAAAGGAAGATTAATGCTGTAACCAGGACACAGAAAAACAGTAAACACAACTTCTCATGTTTCTAAAAGCTAATCTGTTGTTTGTATGAGTCTGCAGAGAGCTTCCAGACTGAAGCTGAATTTTTCCTCGACGTTTATCTGTAAACGCCGACGGGTTGAAGAATGTTGTCTCTCTACTTCTTTCTATCCGTGGGTCCGGTCCTGTGTCACAGCTGTGCCTCGGCTGTGAGGTCATCTCTCTGGCAGCCACCTTGTTTTTGACAGTGTTTACATATTTCCATAACAACAAGCATCTCACATCTGCATTATTATTTTTTTTTTCTCTGGAGCAGTTCACGTCATTCATTACTCTTGTTTTTGATTAAATTGTGCTGGACGTAACCTCTGAGTTCAGAGTTCTTGTCCTCCTGTCTTGAATGATAATTTCAGGATCAACTTAGAGGTGATGAAGGCAAAAAAGGGCAGACAGTGACTAACAGTTTAAACACCGTTAGACTTAGTCCCAGGATATTAGAACCTGGCTAATAATGACCACATTTTCATACCATAGATTATACATAAATGACAAATAAATGACAGATTTATGTATAATAGCTATGCAAAGTTTTATTCCCAACTTCCAGTCATTTTGACTGAAATGTGATATAAATGTGTGAATAAAATTATATATTTTTTAAAGTTGATAGTCCTTATATATTACATGTTATTTATATAGAATAAAATGTCTGTTAAATCAAAATCTACCAGGGGTATATAATTTTAGGCTTAACTATATTTAAAGTTAATAACAGATGATTGTATTTGGGTCATCCATCCAAACATGCAGATATTCTACGGTGTATTTTTTTTCCAAACTTATTTCGAATCTTAAAGTCCTCCATAAACTGCTGGATCGAACACTGGCCTTTCAAAAATACATTATGACACGGTTTGCCTGGGAAAAAAATTTTCAAAAGGAAATAACGTGTGCCGTGTGGTGGTAAAATGTCCAGACTTTGTGCGGTAATCTAAAACAGTGAGTGGCTTCCCTTTCATCTTCCCATCTTGGTGAGTTTTAAATTTAAATAATTTTGAAAAGTGAGGCTAAGAAGTGTTTTCTCTGTTCAGTTGCCTTTTCCTTTTCAGTGACTATCAAATGCATGTTGTAATTTTCCTCTTGTTGAATGTCCTCTGGAATGGATTCATTACACATGTTTATGAACAAACCATGCTGGACAACAACTAATTGTAATGTACCTAATACATGAGCTGGCCTTTAACTGCTGTATAAAAAATGGCATACTATAAAGATGTTTACCTTGTTTATTGGCCGTACAAAGGACAACCTAACTCTACAAAAGAGATTGAGATTGTTTGACAGTTTCAGAAATTTTCACTGCCACACTTATTGTCCTTGGGAATTGAGGACTCCAGATTATGAAGCTAAAAAAAATCCAGCTGTTCAGGGAAAAGCATGTGTAGGAATCTGGGAACTTGCTGAAAGGAAAACTTCAAAGCATACATTTGGGTTTACTGCTGGTGACCGTGAAGTTGAAAAGAGACAGAATCTGAGTCTGTTGTGCAGAGATCATGATCCTCAAAAACGAAAACACAAATAATTAAAAAAACAAAACAAATCAACTCCTTGGGCTAATATATTTTGCCTGAAAACACAGAAGAGATACAAATGTATGCACTGACAAGCCACTTAACCAGGTACTTGTTAACCAGGTACATGGACAAACTCCCATTTCCCTCTGCTTTATTCATGGCAGATATCAAATTGTGGCAAGAAAATATCTCCAAAATAATTTTCCTGTCACCATCAGACTAAAATATTGGAGAGATTTTAGCTGCATCTATAATGGTAATCTCCTCTTTCATCAGATCTCAGACGTGTTCTGCTGGACTGTGGTGATTTGGGCAACTGTTATAATACGGTATCTTCATTTTTATGTCAGAAAAATAGGATTTCCATGACTTGAGCCAAGTTACATGGATTATCCTCCCAGAAGTGCTCATAATCCAACACTACTAGAAAGATTATAATATTAAAACAATGATGCTTTGGTAATTATATGCAAAACATCACACAGTGTGATTTATTGTTTTCATGTTTCTTCAGCAAAATGTTGAGCCTATTCTTGCCATTCTGCTTCAAGTTTCAATCTTTTGTATTTCAGAGTTGATGGTTATTTGCCTCTCTTAAGTAGCAATCCAGCATTCCCTTTCTCTTCTGACATCAATTTATCATTTTCATCCACCTAAATTCTGCTTCCTGGATACTTTTTTTCTGACTCAGCCTTTTTATTTAAAACTGAAATAGAGATAGTTGTGCTATAAAATCTCTGTGGACTACTAATTTCTGAAATACTCCAAATAGTCGTTACATTTTGAAAGTCAAAATTACCCCTAGATATAATGTTTTTTTTTGTTTTGTTTTGTTTGAATTAAACAAGTTATATTCACATATTTTGTTTACCACATATACAATAAACAGCATTTGTCCCAATGATGATTTAATCAATTATAGCTAACAAAGCATGTAGAAATGCTACTGTTCTGATAATTACAACATGCATTTGATATTGTTGTATGGGAGCAATACAACAATAACTCTTGAAAGGGAAAAAAGAGGAGCAGTCTGTGATTCATCTCCTTAGTGAACTTCAGCAACAGCTTGAGATGCTTCCTTCTGATTCTGTTGCTATGTTTACTGTTATGTTTCCTCGCTACAGCCAGAGCAGCAGATGGTTCAATGCCATTTAAGCTTCCAGCTTTATCACCAAAGACACCCTTTCAGCATGCAGAATCATAGACAGCTCCTCTGAGTGAAGGGAAATGTCCTAAAATCCTGTTAGAGAGGAATCGCTCAGGAAATGCAACATGTGTTCTGAAGATAAATGAGGTGATAGTATTTGGAAACCAATGTTCTGACTGCTGAGCTACTCCTCTGTTGTTAGCTAAAAAAAAAAAATCCAACATAAGTTTGATGCAGCAGCAAGACCAGGCTCTCTTTTTCCCTATACTAACGCTTCACAGTAAAAACATTCTGCAACATTTATTGTGAATCCAAAGGTTTTTTTCTACTTTTACCATAATTATTTTCATCTGACCTAATGGAGTCATTCTCTGAATATCTTATAAAAATTTAAGAATTATGCACAAAACACACTTTTGGATCATAAACAGAGAGAAATGTAAAAATAGGTTGAGAACTTACCTGGCTTGTAAACGTGATATAATAAGTCTCATACTGAACAGCGGGTTGAGTCCAAATCAAAGTGGCAGAAGAATCTGTGACGTCCCGAACCCCCAGCTGAGATACACCTGCCATGGCTTAAAGAGAACACAACAATAACTTGTTCAGAGCAGTGGATATTCTTTCCTCTGTAACTCCAAATACAAATGATTCAAAAGCAGGACTAAATTAGGTATTCCTACTGATTTAGTTCAGAAATCAATTATTTTGTTTTCTTGTGCCACTTTGCTCATCACAATGTGTCCTACTTACGGTGTCATTTAGCTAATTCACCACTGAGTACTTTATCAACTGTAGTAGTTTTGTACTGACCTTAGTAAGTCTCTTTTCATAATACCCTCTATTGGTCAATCAATATCTGTCTTTCCGACATTTTCTACTTTGACAGGAAATTAAATAAAGTTAGAACTGACTACCACAGGTGGGATCAGAACAACGTCTATGGGAGTAATGCAAACTAGTCAAAAACAATTATAATTACATTGGATGTGAGCATTTTTGTTTACCATTCTTCTTCTCTATTCTTCACAATAGTGGCCAACTAAATGAAATGACAAGCACCAGTTGATAGCATTGCCAAAAAATTACTAATTTTCCTGGTACAAAATGACAAAGCATGAAGGAGAACCAAAACTGGAAATAAAAACTGGTGAACAATCAGTTTAACATGGAGACTTCCTTTTCTACACCGTTTGGTGAAAAACCAAACATTGCAACAAAAAGGAAACATACTAAAGTTTCAATATCTCTCCTGCTTGCATTATTTTCTATTATTTCAGCTTTTAACTTCCTGCTTTCTCTCCATTTTTGTTTAATCTACTAGAAGCTCCATCTGGTCTGGGGTTCTCTTCAGTTGTGATGCCTCCCTGGAGGGTGGCATCATCTAAATTGCTGCTGCCAACAAATTAATGTTCCTCTTCTCCATCCTATAACTTTATACTTTTCTTTAACACAGAAAGCTTTTCAGGGTCCATGATTCTGTTTCTTTTTAGTGTGTATTCTCCCTTATTTAACTATTAAAGTTATAAAATCAGATATTGCAACTGTAATTGTATTTTAAATCATCAAAAAAACATTCAATTTATGCATTAGAGTAACCTTTTTTTTCCTTAAGACTTATTTTGTATTGAGCAAAAAGTAGATTATTGTTTTAAACAGCATTAAAGGAGAATCAGGAAACATATTCCCTCTGTAAACCACACACCATCCTGGAACAAACTCAAAAATTGACTTAGATGCCTATCTTTACCAAACATGGGTCAGTAAATGTATGCATTTGCATTAATCTTCAACTAAATCCTAAACCATCTGTTTCTCTGCACATTGAATACAAAACACAGTCAAACCTGATCTGTTTGAAAGGAATACAGTTCAGATGATACAGGGTGGTTTTGTCATTAAGAGTCATATACAGGGTTATGATTTAAAACTCACCAGGGCCTAGTTTTGGATCATGTGGCTGACATTCAGTCTTTGTGTTTTAAATAAAACTGGAAATACACAGGTACTTTTACCAGGAGTTGGTTGAATCCAAACTCAGAATAGAGCAAATGTAAAAAATGAATAATCCAGTGTACAATAAACATCTCCAGATATGTGGCTGAGGTAATGAAAATATAGACTGTACCCCATCAGCCTGGACTGATCAACCAGAATAATGGATGTACTAGCAATATTAACTTCATGCCAAAGCTGCAACCTCCTGATGCCAACATTGAGCTGGTACAACCCCAAACAGATATTGCAACACTCCTGGACATGAATATTGCCAATGAACAATCCTTTATCTCCAGACCTATAAATATAATGCCACAACTGGGATTCTTTACAGAGAGGAGTGCACACACCTCCAAATTGCACATGTAAGTTTAATAATCAGAACAAGAGGAGTCACAGTCTGCATATCAAATGTAAAATGAATTTGTCAAGCTGAGAAGCCCTGTGAAGCTGCTTCCTGTCGCTAGTCATAAACTTTTGGAGCTGCAGATACTCCCTTATATGGAGAAACATTTCAGATTGTTAAGTGGCATTCCGGCAGAGACTTTATACCAGTAACCTTTTGTTAGAAATGGATATTTAATTTTACTTATATTTCCTCAGATGTCCACACCTACAGAGGACAGATTCAACATCTGTGAAGAATAACTCCACTCAAAGTCCCACCAGTTGTTTATTGCACTAATTTAATTCCTTTCACAACTTTAGTGCATTCTAAAAGTTTAGGATCTCTAAACTGTGGAGCCCCCCACTGATGGATAACTGAACAAAAAGATGACTTACTGAGATAATAATTCACAGACTTGTTTTACTGCAGCAAGGCCCTCATAAAAAATAACTGACAACTCACGACTCACTGAGAATATGATGTAATATTCCCATAAGCAATTATCCAAATCCAACATGAAGATTACAAAAAGTATTGTGCAGAAATCTGAAAGCAGTTTTTTTTTATCATTCTCCAGTGTCTTCATTACTTTAAGTATGTGAAGTTCTGGTAAAAAAGCAATTCGATGTACATCTACAGTAGATGTCTGCAGGAAAACAAAGACATCAATCTATATATTGTCTCTTCCTGTTTTGGTAAATATTGAATGAATGAAATATATATGTAAATATTTTTGAGTGAACATTTGTGATAATTCTGAAGTTCTGAAACTGTTCAATCAACAGTGAATCAATAAAAAAATGTAGCATTTTCACAAACTAAGAAAATCCAGAATTTCTCTAGTCTAACTTTTTATACTCCTAATGAAAATCCAAAAACGAATAAAAAAAAACCTGTGAACTGGGATTCGGTTGTGAGTGGCCCCATTGCTCTCGTTATCCATTTTCAAAGATTTGGTTAGAAATGCTTCATGTGTTTCCAGAGGGTTGGTGGGATCGACTCCCCATGTGATGAAGATTACTCCACGAAAGAATCTAATGTCTGGAACTGAAATCCTCAAAAAATTTACAAAATTGATTTGGAACTGTTGAACATCCACAAAATAAATAAATAAAAATAGATCTATAACATTTGCCAAATGTGTATGTGAACAAGTTTGTCATCTACAGTTAGAATTGTGTAAAAAAGTGGATGTGAACTAATAAGTCTCTCTTTGTCTTTAGGGAAGGTGGTGAAAAACAGAAAGAGCTGCTCACCTGTGGAAACATCCAGGCAAGAACCACTAATGTTCAATATAGTCCAAACCAAGTAGAAAGAATTAATAACTGCAATACTGTCTTGTTGAAAGACCCAGTCATTGTCATACAGATGAGGCCCTCCGTCAAACAGGGAAGCCTGATGCAACATCTCCACAGAATAAGATGTAGTCACAACCTGGAGCGCTATTGTTTACTTAAGGTGAAGATCTCCAGAAACATATTCACTGTACTGGATAAAATAAACATCTCCAGCAAGATCTTATTGTCATGCCAAATTTATTGGAACCATTCAGGACAGCCTACTTATTTTCTTTCTCGTCAGAGAATAAAATGTTTTTGGAGGGACAACCAAGTTTTGGACATTGCTTAGGATTTTAAAAGGTTTTTTTTTGTGTGTTTTTTTTTCTTTCACAGATACCACTCTATAGTTATTAGACTGCAATCAGCATAACAAGGGGTCTAAGTTCAGGCTGAAAATCTGCCTTTATCCTCATACAAATCCATGTTAAGCTTTCTTCTACTCAGCACAAGTATAACTCTGAGATCCACACTTGAATTTCTCTCAAACATTTTTAAAAATGTATAATTTTCACCATGGGACCAGTTGAGTTTTGCACAAAGATCTTGCTTATGCAACTCAACAACCATGAAACTTTCAAAGGCAGGAAATTGTTTTTTTCTGACATCAGGTCATGTAAATATGAATGTCTGCCAGAAAATAACAGCCATTTATTCACTGGTTGTGACTGGTTGTGCAGTTTTCAGTAGTTCAGCAGCTCTTTATTTAATATTTTGTTTCCGTTTGTTCTTTTTGCATTTTTACACCATTTATAAATGTTTTTGCCACCTGCTTACTGATTTAAACAAAACTTGTAACTAATATTTCTTCTGCATGTTTAGCTAAACTCCATCTACTTGTCTTGTTATTTAGTAAATATGCTTGTGTATTTACGTATTAGTTAGGATTACATTTGAACACTACATTACACTCAAATACCTAAAAATAAGAGAGACAGTCTGGACATTTTTTGTGTAAATGTGAAACTTTATCTTGAACAACTACTAAAGGTCAGTGTATAATTAAGTCTTAAAATGTAAGCTTTTTCTTCAGCATTCTTTCCCATGTTGATTTTCTTTTCTTTGATATCAAAGTATGTTTGCACAAATTCCAACAACAAATTACATGGAACGTTTATGCTACCCACTTAGCTTTTCCACCAGAGGACTCTAGATTGTGGGGCATCCCTCCATCAAGTCCTATAAATGCTTGCACATATTTGGAGAAGCACATAACATACTGAAACACACTCGTGTCTTGTGTCAGATTTGAGCATTGCAAACACCCATTACACAGGAGTATGAGGCATTTTATGGGCAGTGGGTCTTGGTTCTGCTCCACTGTTAATGAAACGGTTCCGTCAGTGGAATGATTGCAGCTTTAACCGACTCCAGGAGAGCTTATGTAACACACCCTGACAAAAGCGAGAAATCGCAACTGCACTGAATTAAACTAACCTTGCTCTTGATAATACAAATTATTTTATTCTAGAGCAGAAAGAAATAGCAATTTCAAAATTTTCTGTCGGGAAATTTTGAGGGAAAATGATGTCTGCTTATGGCTGTTTGCTCCTTTGCCCAGAGTTAAGGTTTCTCACATTGGAAACAAAAGAATAAAAAGTTAAACCTTTTGGTTAGTTTTGTCTTTACACAGAGAATATTAACATGCAACTTCAGAAAGAATCCAGTAAACAAAATATTTACATTTGCCTGTCAGTGATTTGATTTGGATTTGATCCCTTTCAATACTTTCACATAGATGAGTTATGTGCCAAGCAAAACAGTCTTTCCATTGAGTGTAACTTGCCATGTGCATAAAGACCACCTGATTAAAGACCGATTGTAAGACCTTCAGCTAAATTAATGGTGAGGGTTCCAACTCTTCGTTTAATTGCCCTTGGGCTGAAGTTCAGTCTGATGTCTCCCAACATCAGACTGAACATGAAGGGTGAGGAATCAGATATATTAGTAAAGAAAAGTGCAGCTATACTAGGGCCTCTTCACACTGTTTTAAAGAATTGTAGTAATGAAACGTTTTTCCACCAAATGCCTAATCTAAAAAGACTTGGCTCAGTATGAGGGGCATACTGAGCCATCGGAGAATCCCTCTTTTTTACTGGTCATTTCAATGAAAGTACCCTTGAGGAGAAGAACCCTTGTACTTTTCCTTGTTTCCCTGCACCAAAACCTTCTCTTCCATAAAAAGACACTGAGGAAGACCTATACTAGTAAATATAGATTACAGTGACTCTGACTTACCAATGTTGCAGTTTGGCCCAGTCATGCCCTCTTTGCACTGGCTGCAGTCCCGTCCAATAAATCCTCGCCGGCAAACACACTGTCCTTTGATGCATCGCCCTTTGTTGCTGCAGTCATTGGGACAACCTCTAATAGAACAGTCCGGTCCAGTGAACGGGACATTACAAACACATTTCCCATTCACGCATCTTCCAAGGTTATTGCAGTTGTTGGGGCAACCTTTTTCAGAGCAGTCTTCACCAGTGAATCCCTCATTGCAAACACATTGTCCATCGATGCAGCGCCCCCTGTTGTTGCAGTTCTCAGGACAAGCATACTCAGAACAATCATCACCAGAGAAGCCACTCTCACAGACACATTGGCCATCAACACATGTTCCACGATTGCTGCAGTTATCGGGGCAGGTTCTTTCAGAACAGTCTGCACCTGTGAAACCATTGTCACAAACACATTGTCCATTAATGCAGCGCCCCCTGTTGTTGCAGTTTCCCGGACAGGCGATCTCAGTGCAGTCAGTACCGGTGAACCCATTGTCACAGACACATTTTCCATCTACACATCTCCCACGGTCGTTACAGTCATTAGGGCATGTTCTTTCCTGGCAGTCCTTGCCAGTGAAACCATCATCACAAACACATTCACCATCAACACAGCGCCCCCTATTGTTGCAGTTTCCAGGGCAAGTGTCCGCAGAGCAGTCAGGACCAGTGGAGCCAGTGTCACAAACACATTTACCATCAACACAGCGCCCCCTATTGTTGCAGTTTCCAGGACAAGTGTCCTCAGAGCAGTCAGGACCTGTGGAGCCAGTGTCACAAACACATTTACCATTGACACAGCGCCCTCTGTTGTTGCAGTTTCCAGGACAGCCCCTTTTGGAACAATCTGGACCAGTGAATCCAGTGTTACACACGCACTGGCCATCAACACAGCGTCCTCTTCGGTTGCAGTTTTTAGGACAAGATTCTTCAGAACAACTCGGACCTGTGGAACCAGAGTTGCATACACACTTGCCGTTCACACACTTCCCACGATTGCTGCAGTTATTTGGACAGGCTTTCTGGGAGCAGTCGGGACCAGAGAAACCAGGGTCACACACACACTCTCCATTCATGCACCTCCCGTGGTCTTTACAGTTCCCGGGACAGCCGGACTCGCTGCAGTCCGGCCCGCTGTAGCCTGGAAAGCAGGAGCACTTGCCATCCACACAGCGACCCTGATCACTGCACTCATTGGGACAGTCCTCCTTTTCTGGTTTTATGGAGCAGCCAGCACCTAAAAAAAATAGATTGACCAAGACAAAACATTTCTGTTAGATTTGTTGAACAAAGTTGCCACATGATTCACCTTCCCACTGAGCCACAGGATGCCCCTTAAGAAATTTGTTCAATTTTTTGTTGTTTTAAAAGATTTTAAAAAAGCAAGAAATTATGGATAAACTTTAAGGCATTACCATTTTTTTTAATCAAGGTTACTAATAATTGGGGAAGGTATTGTAACTAAGTGATTGTATTTCACTTATTTAGATTCGGTTCAGATGAAAATGAGTTGAAATGTGTCTTGCATGAATTACATAAACATTCTGTTGTGCATTAGGATTTTCTCTTGGGGTGGAGGTATAATTTTCTATAATTAAGCTGCATAACCGCCTTGTTTTGTGTGATGAGACCTTTGTGTGTGTGCACTTGTAAATACTTCATGTAGAGAACCATTTCCATAATGTTGACCAAGAACATCATTTGTAGAAAGTGAATACCTTCTCCTGCTCCTAACTTGGCTTTACAAGTAGGCCTTCAAAGTACGGTATGAATTTAGATGGGTTAAAGTTAGGCTAAGAAATAATGCAAAGTCCCCAGTTTTTATAGAAGTACAAGGATGATGTGCGTGTGCACGTGTGTGTGCGCGTGCATATAAATGTGTGTGGGTGTGTGTGTATCTACTGTTGAAACTGAGGGTGGAGGAATGCCACTGGTGTGAGAAGAGACTGAGATCACAGTGGGCAAAGAACTGAGGGGTAACACACATACACACTCACACACAGCAGCAGCAGCAGATCAAGTTGTGTTTCCATAACCTCACAGTAGATTTACTTAAATCCTTTCCTGAAGACTAACTCAAACCTAAACTACAACCCAATTAAATTTTTTTCCTTATACACAAAATCAAGCAAAGCGGATAATAAACTGAACTGTATTAGCTCATAGCTTGATTTCTGGCAGTTTATCATGTTCTAAGTCAAATGCTTCAGCAAGAATTTGGCTATAAATTAAGCTATAGTTTAATATAGCTACTTTATATTCTCAATGACAAATGTTCAACAACAACAACAAAATGGATAGGAAACATTTTTGATCAATCTTGACTATGTTTTCAAATCTAGATGACTAAATTATCTACAATAATAGAGTAAGGGTTATTACTTTCAGACTTATTTTGGTAGCTTTAACATTTGACTAAAGTATTGTAACAGAGTTTTTAGGTTGAGACCTAAACCAGCCAAACGCAAAAATTTAATTGTGTTGCATTAATTAGGCTAGAAAAAAAAAATCAGGTTGGGTTGATTAGGATAATTAAAAAAGACTTCATCATTAACATTTCATTGCTCTCCGTTTACATTCCAGACTTCTTTTTTCCCAGAGACTGTTAAACTTTATAGCTGCATAAAATAAATACAACTTGTTTACTGAGCCTTTTTAAATTTGTGCGTGAGAATGTAACGTATTCTAGGAGGATCAATATGCCAAATTGTTCTGGCTTTGTTGGTGGCCTCACAAATAAAAAATACACTCCATATGTGAGGCCAGGATCAAAGATTCAGATGTTCCAACAATATCACTTGTTATGTTTGTGATGTAATACACTATACTGAAAAAATACAACTCTGAGTCTAAAATTAGAAACATCTGTCCAACTATCCATTGTTTATAACTTTCTATCCTGCAGGAGGCTGGAGTCCATCTCCAGCTGCCACTGGGTGAGAGGTTTGGTACACACTGGACAGGGTGCCAGTGCATTGAAATAAAAACATATTTTCTTTGTTTAACAAAATGAGTTTGTCCAGTTGTTGATCATGTGACTTGTGTTTCCATGGTAGTTTTGAGAAACAAAGCAATTTCGAATAAGGACAAAAAACACACCTATCCTCCTAGAGCCAAAACAAGAGTTTTTTTTCAAAATTGACTTGTTCCCATTGAGTAAGTTTGTGTTCCTAATGTCAAATTTAACAATTACATGGCCCATAGAAATGCATTTAGTCGTGCCAATTTACAGCAGAAAAGGTAAGCAGTAAAACACACAAACACATGTTCTGTGTAAAATAGCTCAATATAACAAAAGAAGTTTAATAAATTACTTTTGACCTGTGAACACATTATTTTATATCCAACCCCGCTATTGTTAAACAGAACATTTGACTGAAAGTTGAAGTTTGAATTTCGGGGAAAAAATAAAAAAATTTTAAAAAAATTCAACCCTGCTGACCTTTGCTCTCTGAGGTGCAGCAGCTTTCTCCTGTTTCTCCACACTTCCCCCGAAGGTCAGACACTTCCCGCTCCAGACTTTCTAATCGCTCCCGCAAGGAAGCAAAGTCTGCATCGCATCCACAAGACCCAGAACCTGACCCTGATGAAACCAGTTTGATCTTATGGGTTAGCACCAGGGGAGAGCCAGGTGCCAGATCAATTTCTTTACCTGAGGAGAAACATTTGGAGAATGCCATCATAACTGCCATGAGTTAAAACGGGGGTAAGGAAAACATGATATTGTGATGAAGAATAAAAATCTGTTCTTCAACCAATTATATGCAGTGTTGTCATAGTGTTAAATATATAGCTAATTACCTCCTTGGCTCACATCAGATGAATCCCCCTGAGAGGAACATCCCTCAGAGATCACCACCTGTAAAAACAGCGCCTGGTTAAATTATCAGATTTATTATTGGAATTTTCCATTGTATAAATGCATTTCACACAACCTCACAAACATAAGGGCTGCATGTTTGGCCGGAACTCAATTCATCCTAACATTTTAATTGAATTACTTCTGGGCTTTTGACCGGTGGCCATTGAGAGCTGGTGATGATAACTCAAATCACCTTGATGGCATCCTGGTCAGTATCCCTTGGTGTCCTTTCACCCCTGACCTGTAGTTCCTTGGAGGTTGATGGGGTCAGGATGGCTGGCCCAGCCAGAAGAATCAGGATGAGTGAGGGAAGGAGGGGAAGCATTACTGGTAACAGACTGGAATCCATTCCAATGGTTAGTGGGAGTAAAAGGGAAAGGAAAGCTGTTGGACAGTTCAGGAAAACCAAGCTCTTTAATTGATCTGGACCTTATTTTTTCAGGATCTTTCAGATTATTATTGTCTGCAGGACAGGGAACTCTCGGCTGCTGTCACTTTGCCTCAGCCGGGCTCTCGATAGGTGATGACGTCTATCGTCTTCTTCTCTCCAAGAACTTTCCACTTGGAAGAAAACCAGAAACAACGATTAAATATCACGTTAAATTCCATATTAGCCCAGCAGACATTACATTAACTAACACAAATGGGGACCATTATTTGTTTATGGGCCTCTTAGAGTTGCATGTCAGCCAATGAACCCCATTCAGTTATCCTACGTCTGGCTTATCCACATGCAGAATGCAGCAAACAACTGACATAATGAGCATATGTTTTCCACAGCTGTTGATTATTTGGGTAAATTTACATATTTTATTTAAAAGATTTGATAAAGTTTTTAAAATGCATGAAATGCTCCTCCTTAAAATTACCAAAATTATACTTAATTGCATGTGTAAACCTTAACAGACTGAAAAACATTTGTACTATAAGCTCATAAACTTTGGGTAAAACTAGAAATCTGTTATAACCCTTTTCTTTCCTATGAAAACAGGTAAAAAAAAAGGGATTAAGAATAGATTTCTCAGTTTTTGACTTGTGAGCCCATAATTTCCTTCCCACGCAGATTTTTGGGGTTTTCACACTTCATGGGTTAAACTAGTAAGAGTTGATTTTATCTTATTGTTTTGGTGAAGCATAAATAGGTCTGACACACGGTTTATTATTTGACAGGAAACAAACAAACAAAAAACAAGCAATAAGATTAGCCCCTTTTATGATTAAAATAATATCTTCTCAACTTCTGAGTTGCATTAAAAACTTAGTTTATGCATTTATGAACTGGAAACACTTGATAACATTTTTTAAATGCATTTTATATATATATATATATATATATATATATATATATATATATATATATATATATATATATTCAGTCTGTTTTTCAGTCTGTTAAGGTTACACATGCAATTAAGTATAATTTTGGTAATTTTAAGGAGGAGCATTTCATGCCTTTTAAAAACTTTATCAAATCTTTTAAATAAAATATGTAAATTTACCCAAATAATTAACAGCTGTGGAAAACATGCTCATTATGTCAGTTGTTTGCTGCATTCTGCATGTGGATAAGCCAGACGTAGGATAACTGAATGGGGTTTCATTGGCTGACATGCAACTCTAAGAGGCCCATAAACAAGTAATATATATATATATATATAATATATATATATATATATATATATATATATATATATATATATATATATATATATATATATATATATATATATATATATATAAACTAAAAAAAGACCTGCTGCTCCTTAGTCAGGAAAAATTAATGACATTCTGGATTACATTTAAAATGTGTTTATATTTGAGAAAAGCTGCCAAAAAATCTGATCTGCTGTTTCATTTGACTTAAGTTGTGTTTTACATCAAATTAAAATGACGTTTACAGTGTTTAAAAAAAGGAAAACAAGTCATGTCAGAAGCTGAATAAGAAAATTCTTCAAATTTAAACTTGCAATCAAAAATTATTAACTTCAAAAATATATTCTAAAGTTAACACATCTTTGTAACTTTGTCGATTGTTTTTGTGTTGTGCATCATCCTGGAGAGGTGTGTAAAAGCTTAATATCTTTAACATTGCTTCTCATTTCAACTGATCATATCTTATACAGTTTGTTTGTGCCTCCATTCATTTATTCATGTTTCGGAAGAGGAACATGTTTTTCTCTTCCGCTTCAGTTGCAAAATGAGCCAACATAAAAATTATCCACTTGCTGATGATTCCTTTCTATGTAGAATATAAAATATCAGCTTTTTTGTGAGTTTTAGAGAACTTTAAAGGCCATGGTTTAATAATAATTTATCATTTCAGCAATAAAATGTGGTTATATTAATGTTGAGAGATCATTAAAGTGAATAATTTGATCAAAACCATAACATTGAGCAGGTGTTTTGTTATTCTCACTCACAAAATTAGCTGTGCTCACTTCTTTTATTTAGGGACATTTAGGGATGTCTCTTGCACATACTGGACAAGATATGATTGTTGAAGTGTCATGTGCGTCACAGAGCAACAAAAAAAACAAACAGGACAGACAACCATGCACAAAACCATTCATACTTTAAGGGTAATTTAGGAAAATGAATGCAACATACAAATACTTGAAATGTGGCGATATCCAGAGGTAAATCATTGCTAAACAAACACGAACATGTAAACTCCATGCAGAGTTTGGATTCAAACCCTGGACCCTCTTGCTGCAAGCCTATGGTGCAGAAACACTCAGACATCTTTCAGACTTTCAAAGGTTCATTTTCTAGTTCATGCAACATAGCTTTTAAGACAGTTTTAAACTATTTTCCTCAGGCAAGCTGTTTTCACTCAAACTCCTCAGGGTTCCACTTTAATCGAAGACCAAGTAAATCCCACCAAATAAAATTTCCTGTGACATGGCCTATAACACAAAAACAGTAGCTGATCACATTCTCATATACGAGTCAGCCCTTTAAATTTTTAGTAGCCTGGATCTCCCCTGTGAGGTTAACAACCAGAGCTAGTTAACATTTGACAGATCAACTGTTCAAAGCCACGTTCAGCGACAGCTGTGAATGGAGAAAGCAGCTGCTTGAGAGTTCACAAGAGTAGAACGTCATTCTTCCTGCTGGTGAAGCAATAAAATCTAATTAGTGGGCAACATATACATAGTTATTAATGTCTTGACTATTAAGGCAGATTTTCTTTATATTTATTATGGAAAGTTATTACACTTTTTATAACAGAAGGTATGTTAAAGAAATTAATACAAATTCAGAACAAAGCGTTAAGCAAATTCTTCACTTTATAGCTTTAGCCTTTATTGTTTCAACTGCATTTCAATTTTATCTCTGCATATTGATATTTAGCTTTGAAATAGAGCTTTGGACAGGTTTTCCAATTCGGACAATGACTGCCTGGTGTCGAGAGACTTAAAGTGTCCAAGAAAACAAAGGCACACCATTACAGAACCAGCAGGCTGGACTGTTACCACAATAAGTGAGGTAAGCTTTAAATTTCCCTCTGACTGTCAGATTTAGGTGAGCTGGTGCACGCCACCTTCTTAAATTTCTGTTCTTGGCATTTCCAGCAGCTGTTATTACCTCTATGCCTCAACAATGGAAGAGCTGTGTGTAAAACCGCTTTTAGGAGAGTCCAACTAGTCTAAAGCTGCAGTTAACTGAATGGATTATGTTTTTAAAAACCACTCCTCTGACTGCAGTGGAAATGCTGAAGATGACTTGGATGAGAGCCCTATATTAAATCAGCCAATCAGACAACCACAGCTAAACTAAATGATTTTGCTCCTTCCAGCTGCTTACAATAATAATGAATATTCTTTACATTCTCATTTCAGCTTTTGTGTTCTTTGCAAGTTTCTTCCTTTGCTTTTAATCTTTCTAAAACATTTTGTGTTACATTTAGCTGTAAGTAAAGGGTTCTATAAATAAAATCTGATCAGTCATTTTAATTTTGTTGCAGAAAAACTAGAATCTGTCACACACATCCTGGGTTTAAGACTGAATATTCATACACAGAATGTCAGGTTATGGAGCCTTCTCGCCATCTTAGTACATCTTAGACATTTTTGTTCTATTCCACTGTGAATTGATTGTAAGCCGACCCAAAGACTTAACATCTGTGATTTGATTTATAGCCGTCTGAATCGCAGCCAGCTGTAGAACCTGCACTACAAACACCAGTGTGAACAATTAGCTTGAAATCATGTATGGCAGCTGTCCCATTTACTATGTCTTTAAGTTTAAGAGGGCAACACATTCGAAACTGCTGACTCACTTCTTATTTTTACTTTATTGCTTTTTTTCTTCTATATAATTTTACAAATGTAAAGGTATTCATAAGAGAAAAAATGTGTCAGCTAAGCAAACTTATTTCTAATTTGCAAAGCAAATGACACCTTCGTCTCATTTATACGTTGCTCAGTATTATTTTTAGCTGATGGAAATAAACCTTGGGCGACTTCTGTACTTGTTCAACTAAACAGTATTCAATCTTGTCACATTCACCCAACTAGAGAGGCAAGTTCCCACAGTACCAACAACGCTTCTGCAACACTGCCAATTTAAAAACATGTTTGTCCCCTACCAATTCCTTCAGGTTTTTGGCTTACTTTCCGCACTGAGATTCAAAACTATCAGAAATCAAACAGAAATAACAATAATAGTGATTTTATTTGAGGAAAAAAAAAAAAAAAAAGATGTCCAAACCAACGTGGCTTTGTGGAAAAGTTGTAAAAGTCAGTCTTTTAAATCTCTGGAGAAATTGTTGCCTGTTTTTCTTACTTTGCAACAAACAAAAGTTTTCAAGCATGAGGAGCCCATCATGTCACAACATCGGTCTTAGACTTTGACCATTTAAAAAAATGAAAAGCAAAATATTTTAGGTAAAATATAAATAACTGTTTAAACAGATATATTTAGTAATCCATCCTTCTGCTTATTTTATAATCCATCCAACCTGCCATCTATATGTTCATATTGCCTCTTGATAAACACACAATCAGGCCTCTCATGATCTTGTAGCTTTACAACAGAATCACAAAAAATTCAACACACGTCTATATAGAAATATCAATGATGAGGTATAGTAATCAGATAAAAAAATCACTTAGTGATTAATAAAGTTTTCTTGATCCAAATGTGGTCAATTCAATGGTTTGATCAGTCGCTTCTGAGATTTGTTTAACACCGTTTCTGAAGTCATGACAGGCAGCCACTGTGAAATCGATCACAGAGCGGAAGGAAAAACACCACCACAAACCAAACTCATGAACACCACATAAAACCATAAGAAAACTCACAAATCCCAACATGAATTTGTATTTCCCACCTCATCTACTCCAAATCAAAAAGAACAGTCCTTGTTTTTGTTTGCAATCAGGAGATGAAAAGGACCAGAATTAAAACTTCAAATTCCCACAGACTGCCTTAGCAGGTGTAAAAGTGAAACATAAAAAAGCAACTTTCAGTCAGTCCTATAAACAAAATGAGTGACGAGTTATTATAATTGAAGGTAACCTATCTCTGGATAAGACTTGCTTGATTCACAGTTAACTGCTTAATTTGACAGTTATGATAAATCACTTGTAATTTTCCTAAAGTTTCACTGTAGTTTTGCAAGAAATACTCTCCGCATTTCTAAAATGCAAAAGTCAATAGTGAGTCAACTTGACATGTTTTTTTAAGTGAATAAATCAGAAAAACTGGAATAAGCAAGAATCAAATAAACTAATTCAGATAGTTTTCTTTAAAAAATAATAAATAACACCATTTATAGATTGATATAATATGCATATAATCAGCTTGTGAGATTGTCCAATATTATTTAATTTAACTGAATATATAAATATTCAAATTGGACTTTATCACAGAGGAAACATAAGCATCTTACCTGCTGAGAGATGTGAGGACTTCCTCTCCCTGTGGTCCAGAAGCCTCTCTACTGTTTCCTCTTTCTCTCTCTGACTGACCAGCAGGAGGAGGGGGATGGAGAGAAGGAGAAAGGAAAGAAAAGAAAGAAAGACGAAGAGGAGGGAAGGAGGAGAACAGTGAAGTTTTCTCATACTTGAAGAATTTGTCCTCCCTCTCCTCCTTCTGTCTTTCTTTCCCTTTCTGATGTCATGCTATGTGCTTCACAGGTCCCCACTGGGCGGAGGATATCCGATGGAAAACATCTGAATTTTTAAATGTTTTTAAGGAGACTGAACTTTTTAATGTTTTTAAGGGGTCTCCATCCCCTGCTGCTGGACGCTCCCAGATAGAGACAGTCTGCTCTGTTTTTTTTCTGTTTACTAACCGCCGTCCACTGTGGATGTGGCTCCGGCAGACTTGCTCCTCCGCTCTCTGTGAGTGGAGCAGCTCCAGGATCTGACATCACAAACAGACATTTGGCTGCATTCACTGTTGTTTTGGTAGGAAAGGGAGTAAAACTAAACTATGACATCTGATGGGTTGAGACTTTTTCTTAATACGTGAAATGAAAGCAAGATTTTTTATTTTTTGTGTGTGAGAAAATGTATCAGGATCAAGTGTAAGAATTTCTTTGGACTCAACTTTGCCTAAAATGACCTGAAATCTACCAGAACCATCAGTTCATCTGCAGACCAGATTACCTTCATAGGGGACTGGACTCTTATTCAAGTCGGAGTCTCTGAGGAGCATATCTCTTTATTGTGTCTTATTGAGTTTTGTGGTTCTTTTGAAGCCATATCAATTTGGTCTCATGCGAACATTTTAAATAAAACAGGGTCACTTTGCAGGTGATTAGAATGCATTTTTTGTTTTTCTAAGTTAAAGTCAGCATGAGCGCTGCTGATTTTTAGACCACATAAAATGAAGTGCACTGCAGCATGACATGTATGAGCCAAGAAAAGCGAAGTAAGGAAATCGGTGAAGGACAGAAAACAAAAGGAATGGCTGCACATCAGAAGACAAAAGCACCCTTCACTATAGTCATCCATTGTAAAAACATTTTTGTTCTGGAGACTCGGGGAGCCTTGGAGATTTGGTTAACATCCCATAAAATTGTCCTCTCCGTTTGCACACTAAGGTTCAGTCCACCATCTTTATTCTGGCTGTTTAAAATTTTTAAGTTGTTGCTCCAGCTGTTGATATTGCAAATTTGAGCAAGTAGCTGCTTTCTTGTTTTAAATTTGCGGCTCATAAAGAAAAGCATATATTTGACTTGTTTGAAGAGTGAATAGGACCAACACACACACACACACACACACACACACACACACCCATGCACGCATACATACATAGAGAGTCCTAATAAAAACACACAGAGACTCTTTTCTTAAAAGAAAAGAATAAAACTTCTTTCTACAACGTTTCAGGTACAATTACAAGTTATGTTACAGCAAACAAAAAGATTTTTGAAAAGATTTATCTCTCAACATGTTTCTCTCTGAAGAAAACCTTAAAATGGGTTGGATTTCTCAAAATAAATTAAAGTGACATTATTGTAATGCAGTTCAATTATTGAAAGCTATTTCTACGCAGGACCAGGGTTTCCAGTTTTTCTGAAGGGTAGTATATGTTCAGACTAATGGTACTGCTGTGAATTGATGCCAAGCCTGGGAGTGGGTTAGATTGTCATTTTTCCTTAAAAAATAGTTTTCAATAGAATATGATGATGGAAACTATACAATCTAAACATTTTTTTGATATGAATAGCTGATGAAATATGAACCAAAAGAAATAAACTGCACCAACAATATCTTACTTTTATTTATCTAGATAAACTACAAAACCAATTTTTAACAAAATTCTGACGGGGTCGTAGCATTAGAAACTGTTTTTCTGTTATCAATATCATGTGGTTATCTCTGGCTGTTGCTAGTGCTAAACTGAAGGCATTAAACAGTCATACTTGAGATTAATGTCATTATGACTACTGTTCCTCCTTTTGTGAAACGGTTCGTTAGCCATCCTTAAGTTGCTTTTTGAAGCTTTTTGAAAAAGTTGAAACTTCAGAACTTGAAGAATAATCAGATTGGAGATTCCACCATCTAGACTGTGATGAGGTCATAATTATCTGCACCTCATCTGGAAACAGATTTTGTTTACGTGAGGATGTAATGTATTTAGATTTAGATTTGAAGCAAATGAGAAAATCTCTGATGCCAAGAATGGATGAACTCCATTTTTTAACCATGGACTCCTAAAGTTTTCAGTTTGCCCTTTTGACTCCTGTATGGGGCTTTTGCAGCCGATCTGCTCCTAAATAACCGAAATGCTTCAGAAACCAAACACATGTGCACAATGAGGCCACAGCTAATTGTACCACATGTGCAGTTGGCCCAGCCCAGCAGGGCCTGCTGAAGCCGCTCTGAGTCTGCAGAATAACGAGAGTGGCTTTTGTAAAGCTAGGAAATGCAAATTTAAGGTGACATCTTAAAGTTGATGATTCCATCACAGATTCTGACAGTTTGTGAGATACTACATGTCTTCCATGGAGCTGTCTGTCAGTTTTTGACCCTACATGATAAATAAAGAGCGAGAGCACACACAGTGCACTACTTTCTGTCATACTTCTGGCAACAGATAAATGTCTTTATCTCAAACCTTTAAGCTCAAATTGCTTGAGTTCTTACAATAACTCACAAATATATTGCTTGCATCTACAAAGCTTGTGATGGTGTTGGCATAGAAGATTTTATGTGGCCACAAGTGATCTTTTACAAATAAAGTGGTTTGTAAATGTCTTAGAATGTATTTTTCTCTTAATTCACATGAAAACATCTAGTGCCAAAGGAAAAGTATCATAGCCATTGCAGAAACTGAGTCAGGAAACTTTAAGAAGTGGGATACAGTAATTTTGGTTATTTTCAGTGATGATGGCGGGTGGAAGTGGTTCCATACTTTAATGCACAGATGTTCAATTATGTTAAAATGTAATGATTGTTCCAATCAAGTGTTTTCAATGATGTTCTTTGTGCCAGTTTTTAAGTAGCCTTGTTGTATGAATGAGCTCAGTGATAGTAGGCCAGCAGCAAACAGTCAATTATCTAAATTTGACAGGAAGTAACCCTTCAGCATAGGGTGATTATATGACTTACGTGATGTAGCAACCCAAACAATCAGAAAAAACATTTCAGGGATTCATGGCTGGGGTTGGCAACAGATTCTAAACATTGAAAAAGAAATAGTTTCCAATCAAAATAAAAAGGTAATGTATTTCCACTGAACACATTGTTCCAGTGGTAAATTGTGAGCTTCCTTTAAACACCATGACTTTTTATTTTATTTCCATTTTTTTTTCAGATTTATGGGGATGATAAATGTGGATCGAGTCCCGCTGCCCTCTAGCACCAATTTGTTAACCATCTGTTTTGTTTAATACAATGTTCTCAGAATGTTGGTTTTGCACAACAATCTTTTTACTGGTTGCAAGCTGGTAATGTTACCCCACAATGCATTTACAACTGAGATAAGACATTAAATCTATCTGAAAGATCTCATTTATGTTATTCAAAAAAAAAACATTATAAACAACACAAGAACTCACTTTTTTCCTCTGGGGTCAAATAAAGTACATGAGCTCTGCATGGTACATGTCCTGCTCTATCAGTGGATTTGGCTGGCACACGTTGCTTACATCCAAATTGCGGCACATTTTCCCACTCACTGTGACCCATTTACCCACAGAAGGGCCAATTTACAGATGATTAAAGATTGGCAACCTCCTTTTTCTGCCTTTTGTTTTGTTTCCCTTTTGTGTTACCAAGCACTGACCACTAGTAACGTCACATGAATTCCTTTTGCTGCTTCCAGTAGATTAGTTTTAATTTACGAATGTCAATTTCCTTTACAATCTACGATGATGGCGTACCCCTATCAAGGTTGTGTATCAGACTCATAGTTACACAGAGAAGAAATATTCCATAGTAATGGATTGGACTGCAAACAAATAAAGGATCTGGAAGTGTCTACTGTGACCTACTTAATGTGATCGGCAACCAGGCTGTTTCTTTCTTAATAATCTAATATTTTAGTTCGTAGGAAAATTCAAATTAGAAATATTAAATTTTTAGCCAATTATGGTTGGGTCACCCTTAAGTATGGGGAAAAAAGATCACAGCAAAAACAATAAAAACTCACTCTGTCCTATGCTGTAACTTCAAGCTTGACATTCTAAATATGCAAAGGGGCGACATGATTAACATACCATCATGAACAATTGTTCTTCTTGGATCTTAAAGTTGCTTAGCTGTCTCGTTCTAGATCCTGAAGTACTTCAATAGGTGAGAAAGAAAATGAAAGAGTCTTTCCTGAGTTGAAGAAAATATGTTTTACGTTTGAGCCAGATCTAAAGACTTTTCCATGTACCCAAAGCGTGAGTGTAAGTGAACGGTATGAAAAATCAGGAATGAAGTTGACATTCTGTAAGCACAAAATGGTGTCAAAGTAAGAGTCGTTTGTGTTATGTGGCCCACAGTATACACAGCCACTGCATAAACATTCATTTGTCACGGTGTGTGTCGTGTCTGAGCTCATATAAACAAGAGACATGATGGAAGGCTGCAGAACATCTGGCCTATTGGATGTTCTGTTAATGGATTTACTCTGAAAGAGATATAAGCCCTAAAGATGTTCTTTATTTGATTGAAAATATTCATGGATGTCGTTTGCAGAAAACATAGCAGGTAGAAAATAAACATTTGTCGTAGAAAAATGACTGCTAAATGCAAAAGTAAGTCAATATTAGAAAAAGCCTTGAAATATCTTGCCTGAGAATCATTTCTTTTAGCACAAGTGGGAAATATTGTTCAGGTCTGGAGACTGCAAAGAAGATTCAAAACAATCATATCATGCCTTGAGTTTTTCTACCTTTTGTAAGGACTTTTGTCATGTTAGAACTACAAAACTCAGTACATTTTAATGTATTTACATTTAATACTCCAAAACAAAGTGTGACATAGTTGTATTGTGAGATAAAAAAAAAAAAATTAGGGGTAGAAGAAAATATGACATGCGCAAAAAGAAAT